CATCATTTTGTGTTAATTTCAAGTAGAGGTGGATATAGACATGCATACTTAATTTACCATCCTAATCTAATTTCCTTTTTAAAAAAATGTAACTCTTAGACCTCTGGGCCATATGATAGCCTTGTGAGTTCACACAGAAACATTCTTCTGCCAACTCCAAACTCATAGCAGGGACAGATAAGACATTTAAAAATATTAAAATCATGTCATTATATTCAAAAACAACATATGTCACTGTGGGGATCAGCAGCAGGCTGGGGCTGAAGTAGCATATTTACTGGGCCTTGAGATCAGACACAGGTTTTCGGAGGATTGGAGGTTCAACCCTTGCAGACTAGAGGGGACCCTATGTATGGGTTGAGGACCAGAGAAGCTCACCATGTGAAAACTGATTTGGGTGAGGCTCCATCAGGAAAGAAGGCTTAAAAAAAGATTGTTGGGGCTTCCCTGGTGGCACAGTGGTTAAGAACTCGCCTGCCAATGCAGAGGACATGGGTTCGAGCCCTGGTCCGGAAAGATCCCACATGCCGTGGAGCAACTAAGCCCGCGCGCCACAACTACTGAGCCTGTGCTCTAGAGCCCGTGAACCACAACTACTGAGCCCGAGTGCCACAACTACTGAAGCCCACGCGTCTAGAGCCTGTGCTCCGCAACAAGAGAAGCCACGACAGTGAGAAGCCCACGCACCACAACGAAGAGTAGCCCCCGCTCGCTGCATCTAGAGAAAGCCCGTGCGTAGCAACGAAGACCCAACGCAGCCAAAAATAAATAAATAAATTTAGGAAAAAAATTATATACATTAAAAAAAAAAGGATTTCTGGCCACCAACATTGAGCCAATTTCTGTGTTAAGTAGGAGGGAGTAGAGACATTGGGCTTTGGAAGGACCCACATCTGGGCTTCAGTAGCTGGGAGTGGCAGTGTAACTATTCATGTAAAGGGGGGCCAAAGTGGGAGGAAAAAAACAGGCAGTCTTGTAAACCATAAAATGCAAACTCCCAATTCAGATGTACTTGCAAACTAACATATAAAGCACAAGAGGAAACCTGTCATCAGGAAGTGAGGCAACAAACTCCAAAAGTGGGAGTTTGAAATGCAAACTGAAATGAATTTAAAAACACTTAAAATTCTTAAAAAGACTAAAACATGAAATCCAAAAAATTAAAAATATAATCGGTGAAAAAGACTTTTGAAAGAAAGTAAAAAAAAAGCGTATTTTAGAAAGTAGTAAAATAAAAGATGGAAACAAATCGTTTGTGATATCCCATGAAGTAGCAATATGTATTACTAATATTTCCAATGTATATTCTTCCTACTTTTTATGTATGTCGATTTTTGTACAGTATGAGATCATGGTCCAGACTTTCATAGCTTTTACATTAATATATGAATGTTAGTCTTCTATGCTGTTGAAGCTACACAGTATCGACCATGGGCATGTTATAGTTTATTTAAAGAATCTGCGTTCTCAACATGCTGTAGTAGTCATCTTTACATTTTATTTTAAAAAAATCTTTGTTTTCTCTGATGAGAAAAGAATGTAGAGAATACATAAAAGCATAAAGAAGAAAACAAAGATATCACTAATCTTATCGTGCAGTAATAAGCTTTTATAGTGTGTGTGTCTAATAGCCATCATATTATACATATTGCTTTGTAACCTCCTCCCTTTTCACTTAACATTGTGAAAAGTTTTCCATGTGAAATAAAGATCTATATCATCTATAGGGTGCTTACTTGCCTATTGTAAGACTATACCATAAATAACTAACCTCCATTGTAAGACAGGAAGTTGTTTTTATTTCACTGTTGTGAACAATGTTATCAGTGTCATGACATTGTTATAACATTATAAGTATGTTACAGTTTTGTTCTTAATACAAAACTTTATTATTTTTGTTTTTCAACAGGTATTTGCATATGATCATTGTTTCTGGTCTATGGATGAATCTGTCAGAGAAAAGTATGCAGGTAAGAGTCCAGCATCCTATTAACTACTGGTAATATAGAAAGGTGTTTTAGTATTTTTCCTATAAAGTATCACAGTAGTATTTTGTGTAATTTTAGAAACTACATAGAGAACTTCCTCCAGTCTTTGCTATTAGAGTGTTAACGTTGATCAGGAAATGGGAGATTCATGGTGCACTGTTGTCGGTATAAGATGATAAAGTTAGATTAACAGGGTACACAGTTGAGGTTGTCTTACACGCATCCCTGGTCCTTACACGCGACCATAGCATGCAGTAGCTACGTAGGTTCCCTTAGATGTTTGTAATATGGTCTAGAGAGGCAGCTTGGTGTAATGAAAGAACTCTAGACAAGGAGGAAAGGAAACCTTGAGCTTAATCCAAGCTCCACTCCTGTCTCTGACTTTCGGTAAATCACTTAGGCTTTCAGTGTCCCTTTTCACTCTTTTTTTTTTTTTAATTTTATTTTTGGCTGAGGTGGGTCTTAGTTGCAGGATCTTTGTTGTGGCATGCAGGATCTTCGTTGTGGCATGTGGGATCTTTCACTGTGGCGCGCAGGCTCTTCATTGTGGTGCGTGGGCTTCTCTCTAGTTGTGGTGCTGGGCTCCAGAGCAAGCGGGCTCTTCGTTGTGGCACGTGGGCTTCTCTCTATGTGAGGCACACGGGCTCAGTAGTTGAGGCATGAGGGCTCAGTTGCTCCACAGCACGTGGGATCCCCCGACCAGGGATCGAGCTTGAATCCCCTGCATTGGAAGGTGGATTCTTAACCACTGGACCACCAGGGAAGTCCCCCTTTTCCCTCTTTAATGGAGACGAATATGCCATGTCCTCTCTGAATTTGCTCTGGGAGTCTATTCTTTTATTCTCTTCAGTGATGACTGACTCAAGCCCCTTTTCACTACAAGTTTAAGACTACAGCAACAGGGGCTTCCCTGGTGGCTCAGTGGTTGAGAGTCCGCCTGCCGATGCAGGGGACGCGGGTTCGTGCCCTGGTCCAGGAAGATCCCACATGCCGCAGAGCGACTGGGCCTGTGAGCCGTGGCCGCTGGGCCTGTGAGCCATGGCCGCTGAGCCTGCGCGTCCTGAGCCTGTGCGTCCTGAGCCTGTGCTCCGCAACGGGAGAGGCCACAGCGGTGAGAGGCCCGCGGACCGCAAAAAAAAAAAAAAAAAAAAAGACTACAGCGACAGCCAAATTAAAAACAAAACAAACAAACAAAAAAAGACTACAATGATAACCATATATTTCCTTTATTCCTAACTGCTTATGACACCCGTTTCTAAACAATCTTTTAAATATTGGGTGTCATATTGTATTGGCCTTTATCATGAAAAACAGTAGTACTACAGCTGTTTCCAAAAGTTAAGGTTAATTTGGGCTGGCTGGCCCAGTGATGACTCTGAGGATTGCTTCAGAATCACAAGTGTGATGAGGATGAATGGATCTGGTAAATGAGCTAGAAAGTGAGGCCTAATGGAATGCTGTTTATAGCGTTCAAAATGTAACAAGCATGACAGCATCCAGTTCTTTCATATTATATTCAGGACCCAAAGAGGTTGAATAACTTGTCAAGGCCACGTTTGGTTATTGACATATTTAATTTAGCCTGTGGAGGGGAATTGGACCCTACTATTTAGGTCCATGGTTGAAAGCTAGAAGAAATGTCCCAGACCTTCCTCCCTCTCCCAGCTGGTATGTATTGTAGACCCTGTAATTAAACATTATCATTGAGGAAAAGGAGAGGGAATTGATATATATGATTATTTTGAACTTCAGTACACACTGAATAAAGCATTGGCTGAGTGGTACATAGTTAAATTCAGGTCCACCTAGGTCCCAAGTATACATTTCAGATATTTATAATCATTGTTTATAAAATTAGCAGTTCATTGGTTTTTTTGGCCGGTGTTAAGTTCATATTATCAGGAACTTTTCACTCATTTTCTGTTATGTGCTAACTAGATATTTCTGAAAGACATAAGCCTTTGGAAGCATTCATCAAGTTTAAAAATCTTGTTTGGTAGGTAAACAAGCTGAGAAAAAAAGTGCATTTTTGAGAGTTTTGTTTGTTTTTTTAATTGTTCATATGTAGTTTTGGCTTAAAACATCCGACCTTTTTCTCTGTCATTCTTTCAGGTCAAGATGATGTTTTCAAGTGCCTTGGGGAGAATATCCTTCAGAATGCTTTTGATGGCTACAATGCATGTATCTTTGCCTATGGACAGACTGGTAATTGTTAAATAATCTGTTTTTTTTTAAACTTTAAAGATCCTAACAAAGAAAATACCAAAAAGAATACATATTGCTAGCATCTTATCAGTTGTGATTGATAAAGGAGTGTTTTGACTTCTATACCTCTGTGGTCAACAGGAAAGAAATCTATTTAAAGTGAAGGAGTCACTTTTATAAGGGTATATCGTATAGCTTGTCCAATTGAAAACTATTCTTCATGGAAAAATGGTTATGATATTTTCAAGACTTGTTAGGACTATGAGTGATTTAATTTTTTCCTCTATTTTCCTATACTTTCTAAATTTTCTTTAATGAATATGTGTTTTTGGTACATAGAAAATAATTTTGTAGTAGAAAAATAAGATGACTGATTTCTACACTGTTGCCAAAGGGTAGTGGTAGTAAGTTAATTTGCTCTGGGGCCTGTAGGGATAACATACATTTTTTATGCTATGATTAGTGGTTGGAAGCAGGCACATAGTATTCATCATATGGATCTTTCCAGTTCAATTTTAGGAAACTATTCCGACCTCACAATCTTTCAGTCATTTTAGGTCTTTTTTTTTTTTTTTAACGTATGATGATAGTTAAAGAAGGTTTTTATTTTCTTCCTAAAGGATGTGTACTTCCGACTTCTACATGTATAATTGGAAAGCTTCTCTACTTACTAGTGTCGTCATTATATTTGGGTATATTCCTTATTTGGGACATTTTGCTAAGTGCTAGGATTTTATTATGAGCAATGGAAAGAGGGCTGTGTATTTAAACTTCTCAAGGAGACAGTAATAACTATGATTTCCATTTTTTAGGATCTGGAAAATCTTACACCATGATGGGCACAGCTGACCAACCTGGATTAATCCCAAGACTTTGCAGTGGACTCTTTGAACGAACCCAGAAAGAGGAAAACGAAGAGCAGAGTTTTAAAGTAGAAGTGTCCTATATGGAAATTTACAATGAAAAAGTTAGAGACCTTCTTGATCCCAAAGGGTAAATGACTTTGAGACTTTAATGTTGTGGTATCATGGACTAAAACAGACTTAATAAATTGGCTTAAGTGAATTTTTTTTTTTTTTTTGGCGGTACGCGGGCCTCTCACTGTTGTGGCCTCTCCCGTTGCGGAGCACAGGTTCCGGATGCGCAGGCTCAGCGGCCATGGCTCACGGGCCCAGCCGCTCCGCGGCATGTGGGATCTTCCCGGACCGGGCACGAACCCGTGTCCCCTGCATGGGCAGGCGGACTCCCAACCACTGCGCCACCAGGGAAGCCCCAAGTGAAATGTTTTGTACTGAACTTGAATAAAGAGTTATTTTTCTAGTTTTTAGTTATATTAGGTTATATTAAGGGGTTTCCTGTAGCCAGTTCTGGGCTTTTTAACTAGGGCTGAGATGGGACAGGGAAGCATGGTTGAGCAGCATGTATATACTGTCTCTCTCAGATATATGCAAAAGCACAAACAAAAAATACGTATTGATAGTTAAGTTACTGAATATCAGTATAACTGGTAGAGTGTTTTTTGTTTTAAACCAAGAAATTTCAAATGGAATTCATCTGTTTGCAGGCTGTGACATAATCAGAAATAGTGAAACCTGGACTTCAAGATAGTTCGTTTTCATGATTCTCAAGGGGAAAAAGTGTCCAATTTTATGGTGTAGGCTTTGAAAGAGAAGTGGCTTAAAAGTATTAGAAAGGCTTCAAGAATTCTGTCCTCAGTCTGCAGTCATAACTGAGGCTAATGAGGAAGATAAGGGGTATCTGAGGAAATTTGTGCATTGCACAGAGTTCTCTGAGTTCAGATTTTAAGGAAGTGCAACAATGGAGAGAAAAACATAAAAACCACAGCCTGTGGCTTATTTCTGTAAGAGCAGTATTTGGAAGGTCAAAGAGCCACGTGAGCTGAAGCTTATAGAAAGCGCGGAGGACAGCGAGGGCGCATCTAGTTATGTTGGGATGAAGAGGACGATCAAGGAAAGCTGGTCTCAGAAGCAGTGGGTCACAGGCCCTCAATCAAGAGAAAACTAAACCTGTCAGCTCCTCACTGGCATCTGTTTTCTTTAGCAAAGATAATGATCTGCAGGCCTTTCATATGAGGCTGAATTGGCACTTAGTATTTCTTCCCTTTTTTTTTTTGGCTGTGCCGCGCGCAGCTTGCGGGGTCTTAGTTCCCCGACCGGGGATCTAACCCGGGCCCCTGGACTGCCAGGGAATTCCCGGCACTTAGTGTTTGTTTTTTTGTTTGTTTGTTTTATTTTTGGCTGTGTTGGGTCTTCGTTTCTGTGCGCAGACTTTCTCTAGTTGTGGCGAGCGGGGGCTACTCTTCATTGCAGCGCATGGGTCTCTCATTGTGGTGGCTTCTCCTGTTGCGGAGCGCGGGTTCTAGGTGCATGGGCTCAGTAGTTGTGGCACGTGGGCTCAGTAGTTGTGGCTCGTGGGCTGTAGAGCACAGGCTCAGTAGTTGTGGCACACAGGCTTAGTTGCTCCGCGGCATGTGGGATCTTCCCGGACCAGGGATCGAACCCATATCCCCTGCATTGGCAGGCGGATTCTTAACCACTGCACCACTGGGGAAGCCCCCGGCACTTAGTGTTTTTATACAGAACTTTACTTAACATTTATCGAGTGATCACTGTATGCCAGGCACTATGCAGTCATAGATGAAGAGCTCAGTGTGGACAGAATGGGAGTTTTGGAAACAAATAGTTATGAATCAATGCAATAATGCTTTTAAATCGTGAAGGAGGCTCACACAAAATAGGTGAGAGCAAAGAGGGAGTGACTGCCTTTGCCCGGAGGAGAAGGGAAGATTCTACACAGAGTGCTTGATAAATTTGTACTGAGTAGGAGTTTGTCCACTGAGAAGCAGGGTGGGAACGATTCAGGCATAGGGGACAGCCTGTGCCAGAGCATGGAGGTGTGGAGAAATCAGAGGTTTGGAAAGTGACTCAGCTGTCCAATGGGGCTGAAGGACAGTATGCACAGATGTTGAAACAGGGAACCAAAGGAAGTCCAGAGGGAGGAAGGTTGTGGCCTAGGTAGCCACATCTTGCCAAAAATTGTGCCCCTGTACTTTTTCTGGCTCTGCCTTGAATCCTTTTTCTTCCACCTTCATTTCTGTGAAAAGCATCACTTTTTTTGAGATCCCAGAAATTCCTACTCTTTGCAGAAATTCTTAGCTGACTTCATTCTCATGTTTTATATTCCACAGTGCCTGTGTGAATAGCTTGAACTTTACTATCTACACTTTGCTAATAGTCTTTAGTAATATCTTATATGTTTGTCTTGTGTACAGTTTAATAATTGACAGCATGGGCTTTGGAATCACCTGGCTCTGGATCTAGGTCCTCTACTTGTTACCTATTGGGCAAGGCAAGTTCCTTTATGCTTTCTAGGCCTCATTTGTACAGAAGGGTTGATAATGTTACATAATATCTCAGAGGGCTGTTGTGAAGATAGACTGGGTTGATAGACCTGAGGTCTTAGAACATTTACTGGCACGTAGTAAGTGCTCAATAAGTGTTAGCTGTTGTTGTCTCCTCCATGAAAGTTTCTTGAGGATTTTTGTAGTGTTTCTGAAGAGCCAAAATGAATGGATTAAAAACTCTGAAGGTGATTCCTTTTCAGCAAAAGATTATTTGAGAGAACCTAGTTATATTATTCAAGTACTGATTTTATTAATTCACTGCCTACTTTGTGTAGTAATATAATTGTTTTACTCAAGAGATAATGCAGTCACAAAGAACCGAGCCGGTATCCCTGTGCCATGCGGCTGCTTCCCACTGGCTATCTACCTTACGTTTGTTAGTATATATATGTCCATGTCTCTCTCTCACCCTTTCACAGCTCACCCTTCCATAGGGAGGGTGGGAGGGAGGGAGACAAAGAGGGAAGAGATATGGGAACATATGTATATGTATAACTGATTCACTCTGTTATAAAGCAGAAACTAACACACCATTGTAAAGCAATTATACCCCAATAAAGATGTTAAAAAAAAAAAAAAGAGATAATGCAGTATACACTGTCTTTAGAAAAAAGGGAAATATAAAAGGAAAAAAGTTTTAATGGTTCTGGTCTTTGGATATATTCTAAGTCGAATATTCTATATGTATTTTATATACAGTTTTATAGTAGTAAGTAAAGTTTTGGTGGTTGATCCTAGGGTACTGTAAGATTCCAAATCATTAGAAAATAATAAGTTACATAAAACAAGAATCACCTGTAATCTCATCATCAATAAATATTCTTTTGAAAAATTGTAATGTTTAGGGAATTCCCTGGTGGTCCAGTGGTTAGGACATGGCACTTTCACTGCTGTGGCCCGGGTTCAGTCCCTGGGCAGGGAACTGAGATCCTGTAAGCTGCGCGGCGCAACCAAAAAAAAGGAATTGTAATGTTTAGATTTTTTGAAGAGCTTTTTTGACATAGAATCAGTCATCAAATATTCTTTATATTTTTTGGTTGATATCATTAAGTATGCTATATGCTCTAGGTTTCTGACAGGTGCCCTCTGCTGGTTTTATTAGTTCCTTGTTTGTAAGAGGTTTGTTTTCTTAATCATGAATGAGTATTTAATTTTATTGAATCCTTTTTCAGTTTATTGAAATCGTTTCTTGAAATGATCATGTATTTTTTTTTCCTCTTTAGTCTATCATTGTGGTAAAGAGCATGAATCTTTTTTCAGTGTTAAAACAACCTAGCAGCCCTGGGACAGTCCAACTTTATGTTTTTAAATCACTGTTAGATTCAGCCTGTTGTCTTTATTTTTGTCTGTTTATATTTGTTTGTCTTTATTCATGATTGAATTTTGTCTGTAGTTTTCTTTTGCACAGTTAACATTTATTGAGTTTCTGCTCTTTGTGCCACATTCTGTGATCTGACAAGTAGATTGTTTGTATTTATTTGACTCTGCATTCTTTGTGGTAGTAGACATCCCACAGTGTACCCTTTTGAGTGATGTGATATTTTACCACATTATGAAGTTTTTCTTACTAGTCAAGATCTTAAGTTTTGGTTTAAATTCTTCTGGGATCAAGTCTGTTTGTTCTACTTTTGTGGGATCTTTGTTGAATTCAGTATATATTTTTACTGCGCATGGCTGAGTCCTTTTAAACAGGTAATTGTTTAAAAATTGATTCTTTTGTTTTTACTGAGCAGAAGCCGTCAAACGTTAAGAGTCAGAGAGCACAGTGTGTTGGGACCCTATGTCGATGGACTTTCTAAACTGGCTGTCACAGGCTACAAGGTAACAACATCCTTTATGTGAACTACTAAAATTCACTGTAGCAAGTTTTTTTGTTGTTGAATTTGTGATCTTTTTCTGAAAAAAAAAATTATGGTAGCATCACTTAATAAGTCACAAAAAAGTTTGTAAAAAAGTTACAAAAATCTTCATTAAAAAACTTTGGGTCAGTTTAATTTTGAGAGAAGGTATACATATTTGCAAGGCATACCTATTCATCTATCGTGAGACATTTTTTCCATTTTTATGAGCTCTAAAATTGTGATATTCCTTACGATTGTATCTTAAAATGATAAATGGCAGTATTTTTTTCTTCTGTAGTAGTACATAAAATAATGATGTTGCTTATGATTTTGTTGATTTAATGAAATAAAATATGAGCTGAGTAGTTGGAATTCAAAGCCTGTTTCTAATTTGAGAGAATCACTCTTTTACCTTTAGTTACTAGTTCTCTTCATTTTCAAACTTCAGAGTTATGCTTTGTGTGAATCCGTTAGGCTTTCCTTGTTGGGGAAATGGGGGTAGGGTGAGCTGTGATGTAATACACGTTGAATTAAGAGTCAGAGACTGTTGATGGTGACAGTCTTCTCATATGACTCCTATATGACTCTGGATTGTTTACTCTATCTCACTAAGCCTCTTTCTCCTAATTTTTAGAATGGAAATTAGTTTTATTGTCTTGACTATCTTTTGAGGTAGATTCATTAGTTCCTTTGTTCATTAATCACATTCTATCATTTGGTCAAGGATACTTCATTTAGTAAACACTTCATATTTACTTCATTTAGTAAACATTTATTGAATACCTGTTATATGCCAGGCATTGTGCTAAGTGCTGAAGAAATTAAAAAAATGAATGAGGTGGTCCATTCCCTCAAGATGCTTACAGATGTTATAAAGGTATTATAAAACAACATGATTTTAAGTGCAGTGAGAGATGCATTGTTCAGGATTCATGGTAGTTTGGAGGAGGAATACCTGACTTCAGTGGATACGTAGGTGTCCAGGGAGGGTGGTATCCAGGAAAGCTTCCTGGAGGAGATCAAATGAGATAGTGCATGTGAAAAGTCTTAGAAAACTCTACAGTATCATATAAATGTTAGGTATTGTTGTTTTAATAATGATATTTGAGAGCTTATTTCTGCAACAGTGGAGAGAGATCAAGATTTTTTTGAGAGCTCAGAGAGATTGGAAAGTATAAAAAGACACTTTATTCAAAAAATTAAAAGATTCAATAAAGAGTTTTATGTAGGAGACAACAGATTAAAGATCAGTGAATGTCTAGATGATTAGAGACCAATGAATAAATGTAGGCTAGGGACTTCCGTGGTGGCGCAGTGGTTAAGAATCTGCCTGCCAATGCAGGGGACACGGGTTCAAGCCCTGATCTGGGAGGATCCCACATGCCGCAGAGCAACTAAGCCCGTACACCACAACTACTGAGCCCGCGCTCTAGAGCCGGTGAGCCACAACTACTCAGCCCGCACGCCACAACTGCTAGAGCCCAAGCTCCGCAACAAGAGAAGCCACCCCAGTGAGAAACCCGTGCACCTCAACGAAGAGTAGCCCCTGCTCACCGCAACTAGAGAAAGCCCTCACACATCAATGAAGACTCAATGCAGCCATAAATTAATTAATTAAATAATTATTTAAAAGAACAAACAAAAAACAAGAAACATTTATTTTTTAAAAATGTAGGCTAAATAGAATAAAGCTTTTTCATTAAGTGTTAGGATTGTAAGATTTAATGGATCTAAAATGGATTTGGAACAAATCTAGAAAACTGTAAATTTTACATTTTGTTGTTTTTCCATTCTGGTGCCAACTTCTGCCTCTTTTTGCAATGTTTTTACTCTGAGGCTTGTTATGTATCATGTTGAATTTGTCCTTAAATGTTATTCTTTTTCATTTATATAGGAAAATAGAATCTTATGATTTTCAAAGTTTTTCTTATATATATTGTCAGTTAGGATTATGTTTGGCTGCATATAACTGAAAATAATATAACAGGACTTAAGTGCTTTGGAATATGAATTATTATCTGTTTTGTTCCTATGTATCCTCAGTATCTTAAAATGTACCTGACTTGTAGTAGGTGCTTTCCGTTTTTATTAGAGTGAACAAATGAATGAATGGTGAGAGGGCTGGTATGGCGACTCCAAAGCTGCTGTTAGGATCTAGATTCCTTCCAGCTTTCCACATAGAGCCAGGTCTTTAGTAATGCCCTTATTCTCATAGTTCAGGATGGCTCAGAACCAGCATGTGATAGTGTGCCTGTTCCCTTTAAGGTGAATTCCCAGGTGACTTTTTGTCTCATTCGCTAAAAGTTAGTCATATCACCAGGCTGAGCTGCAAGGGCATCTGGGAAGTGCAGTCTCTTAGTTTCGCTGTAGTGTGCTCAGCTAAAGATGGGGTTCCTTTACTGGAAACAAGAGGAGGCTGGATAAAGGAAGGCAACTAGTACACTCTCTCACAAGTACAGTATATGTTTCTTGTTCCTCATTAAAATCCTTGTAAGGTAGATGATGTCATAGCTGTGTTGTTATTTATGAAACTAGATTTCAGACTGCTTAAGTAACTGTTTTAGAGCTTATAACATTAAAAAAAACCCCAAAGATCCCATGATCTTTCGAGTGTATCATGCTGTCTCTGTTTTAGTTATAATGGCAATGAAGTAGTGAATCTGTGCAGAAAATTAGTCTCTTGATGTCCTCATTTTTTAAAAACAGGTCTGGTAAGATATACACCAATGCGGTGATGTAATGCTATGCCTGTGTGAAGGGGTTACAAATTATTTTTGTTTGCTGTTTATTTATACAATCTAATTTGATTTAACAATTAACTTCTATTACTATAATTAAATAAGCTAAAGTTTTTCAAATTTTGAGATGAGATGAGGATTGGCATGGCATGTTTGTCCATCTTGTGGGACTTCAACATGTAGCTTCTAAACTTTTCTAATTCTTGGTCAGAGCTGCTGCTTTATTCTGCACCTACAGTAAATAATGTATTTTATTTGAGTTTTCAGAGATAGTGCTGGCTATTGTACTCTGTGGGGCATAATGTTCATCGAGAAACAGAATGTAAACTCCAAATGTGGTTGACTAAGTAGTGAAACTTGGAATGCATTTCATAGTATAGCAGAGTTTTCATGTTTATTAGATAATGAAATGTGTGTCTATGACTTGTTTCCACTTAGGATATTGAATCTTTGATGTCTGAAGGTAACAAATCTCGTACAGTTGCTGCAACCAACATGAATGAGGAGAGCAGCCGATCACATGCAGTCTTCAAAATCACCCTCACACACACTTTATATGATGTGAAGTCCGGGGTAGGTGTTCAGATACATGACCTTTTTTTAAAAAAAAAAAATTTCTAAAGTGGATCATGGTTTATCTTATTCCCTTCAGGTGTTAGATGACTTGAAGTCCTAGCCAGGCATGTGTATCAATTAGGACTCAGGACAAGAAACAGAAGCCACTCTAAGTAAACAGAAAGGGATTTAATAGAGGGAACTGGATGATTACAAAGTTGTTGGTACACCTTCTGGGGAGTGATTTCTAGACTAAATCTCTAGAAATAACCTCCAGAAGAGCACAGATCTCATCCAGTGAGGATGGTACTACCCCTGAGGCCACCCCCAGACCTGTGAGTTCCAGGCACACCCCAGAGCTGTGATCCAAGATACAGGAGTCAGTGAGGCCACCTTCTTAGAGCCCTGGTAGTTGGAGAATGTGAGCTGGGATGCTTTTTTAGGAAAACTCATATATCCACACTCCTGCTTGCCAGCAGAAAAAAGCCAAAATGGGTGAGGGGGGTGACCTCTACTTTGTTTCTGCCTTCTAAATCTTAAGCAAGAATATGTGATTGACAGAACCTAAGTCACATCCTGAGCCTTGGCTGCAAGGGAGTCTGAGAAATGTAGGTTTTAGCTCTCCACCCTCTCCAAATAAAGGAAGTTGGAACAGAAGTTATACAAGCTGATGGCCCATAGTCTCTGCCATAGCATTTTTTGAGCTTTCAACTCTGATGGCAAACTGTATAAGCTAATAATACCCTAGCTGATTTAGTGGAGTTTCTTTTGAAGTGTTACATTCTGCTAAACAGCAAAGTGTTAGAAGGAGTAAGTTATACTGGGGAACTTGTACTATAAGATTCTAGATTTGTAGAATAATTTTTTGAGCATTTGGACTTGAAGCTTATGAAAAGTAACAGAGCCAGAGATGTGTATGCTTCTATCACACTGAAAACTTCTGTGTTGGCTCATACATTTGTGTTTTCCCTCTTACTTTTTATGTGAACTTTTGCATATTTTATTACTACCCTCCAGCGAATCAATTTCAAATAGCAGAAGTTAAAATGATCACCCTGGCAAAGTGCTGTATTTTGGCAAGATTTTCATTTGCTGAGAGCATATTTTTCTTCTTTTACCATCACAGCAAGATTAGTGCAACGACAAAAAGTTCTTTGTTTTCTATTTCCTTTTCAGCATAAAACAAAAAACATACTGACTTTCTTTTTTTAAACCAAAAGTACTTTTGATTTGGGAAGCTTAATACCCTTTTGTTAGCAACATGTTCATTTATGGAAATAAGTATAAATGTATACTTTAAAGGAAAGTTTTAAGAAGTGATCCAGTCTGTAGATTTTGGCATTGCTTTCCCACATTTCTTACATTGCTGCTGAAGTATAAACTATCTGTTATGTGTGTGATTTGATAATTGAACATTTTTGATAAAGGAAAATATCAGTATGTATAATATCTTAACTAGAAAAATATGTAAATTTAATACCTGAAATTATGAAACAAGGGAATTATTATATGAAAAATTTTAGAAAGCATTGGGTCTTTGAGGGATCCTTCTGTTGTATAAAAGTCAGATTTTTTTGTATTATAAGAAATTCAAATATTTTCCCTCAGGATTATTGGTAAATATATATGAAATTTTAAGCGTGGTTTCACATATTAAAATTTATACCTTATGAATAGTGCTTTTGTATACTTCTCTAAGAAGATTTTGTTGGGTTCCCTTCAAAATGTACCATATTGGGGGGCACTGTTTTGTTTTGAGATAGTTTTCTGTCTGGATTCGTAGTTGTGTATAATTTTGTGTGTATCTACTACTAGATTGTGTAGTTTTCTTACACTGTTATGTAGCAGCACAAATTAACTTTAAAATAACAATAGATACGCTTTAATAAAGGATTTAGATAATAAACTCATTCGGTAGAGATGTATCGCTTTCTGTATTCTGTAACTGTTTGTTAGTATTTGTCGATTTGCTTCCTAGACATCTGGAGAGAAAGTGGGCAAGCTGAGCTTGGTTGATTTAGCCGGCAGTGAGCGAGCGACGAAAACGGGAGCAGCAGGTGACAGGCTGAAGGAGGGCAGCAACATCAACAAGTAAGTTGTCCAACAAGTAAGCTGCCTCTGTTGCTTCAGTGACTTAGTAGCCAAAAGGGGGAACTTCTTTAGTTATTGAAAGAATAGGATTCCGGGATGACTGAGACTATAAAGAATAAATAGTGTAGAATTTTTTTTCAGAGATATGTTTTAAGGGCCCGAGCCTGTTTTATGTTTTGTTGAGAGGCCTTCTGGGGCTGAGGAGCACAACCTCAGTCAAGTCCAAGGTTTCCCAAGGGCAGCCCTATTGAGGTTCGGGGCCAAGGAGTTCTTTGTCCCAGGGAGTGGTCCTATGCCTCATAGGATGTTTAGTGGCATCCCTGACCTCTACCCACTAGATGGCGGCAGTACTTGCCATCTCTCTCCTCAGCCCGAGTTGTGACAACATAGATTATCTCCAGATATGGCCAGCTGCCCCCTGTGGGGACATAGTCACCCTCCAGTTGAGAGCTACTGGTCTAAGCTATAGAAACAAACAAAGATAATCGGAGTATCAGAGTCTAGCTGTGGATCTTGGCGTGGGTGTCACTGTCTGAACAAACAATAACATGTGTACTGGCTACATCAGGCTTTGCTTTTTATGACAGCTGTGGTGCTTATTTATACCAAGGTTTTACTTTACAAAGTAATATTTTGTGCACCAAGTCCTTCATATGGTTATACATTTTCTTACCTTAAGCTATATTGTTAGCCCCTTGGGGGCAGGAATCTTTTCCATCCTTGTGGCTCCCAGAGGGACACTTAGCGAGACAGTCATCAGTAACCAGCTGGAAATCATAGAATACCATCATCCAGATGCTACGCTATTATTTATTTATATATATATGAATGTTCTTGCCTTGTACTATGTTTTAGTTAATTGTATTGTGTTTGTGGCATCCTTTCTTAAAGATATGTGGTATTTGTGTCATTATCTTGACCTAATGGTTTACAGCTTACGTTTTTTTTTTACAAAAATGAAAAAAAAAATTGAAATAAGCAATTTTATAGCTTATACTAGTATTAGAGGGATATCAGCGTTTAGAGTTTATGTGTTCTTAACCTGAGCAGCAAAATGCTGACAACAGTGCTGTTCTCGTGCTGGTACAAAGGCATCTTGATGTTCATTCTTTGTGCTAAAATGTGACATTTGATATACTCAGGTTTTTACGATTATTACGGTTTGTTGCACCATGCAGGTCCCTCACAACCCTCGGTCTGGTTATCTCAGCCCTAGCAGATCAGGGTGCTGGCAAAAACAAGAATAAATTTGTTCCATATCGTGACTCAGTTCTCACTTGGCTGCTCAAAGTAAGTTTTTTTCCCCCCTTTCTGGGATGCTCTTGGTGGTTGGTAAAAAGGAAGAATAAAGAGTAGACTATTGATTTCTCCCAATTATAATTTCCTACATCAGTGTTCAAATTTATAATCATTAGACTCTTACATGATAGTCCTAATTTTAATGGATTAAGCACGGGTTTCTTTCTGATTCACCAGGACCCGGAAGCAGGGGGGTTTGCGGCACACCGAATCGCACAGTCGCCTCTGAGATTTGGGGACTAGAACAGGACCTAGTGCTGATCTGATAGCTGAGCGTGTCATAGGAAAGTTTCCACTGTGTTCCAGACCCAGCCAGACTGCTCTATCCTTCTCACAGACTCCTTTTGTTTGATGGACATTTTGGATCTTCTTTTTCTGTTTAACTTCCAGACTACTCATGATCATTTTAATTTGCTTTCAGCTGCTTAAAGCTGTTGTTAAAAGATAGAGTAGAGCACACAGTCATTCACTGGTTAATTGATTCAGCATGAATGAGAGAAATGGAAATGAGGAAGAAAAAGCCTGTATGAAGTGCTGTGAGGAGGATGTAAGGAAACGCTAGACACTCCTTGCCCTGTAATCACTCAGTCCAGTAAGGGAGAGAAGTTGTGTACACAGAATACTATAACACGAGTGGGTGATTCCATGAGAGAGAAGAAAATGGCATGTAATCGGAGTTTGGTGAAGAGAGAGACTATTTCCAGGTTTCTTCTAGTCTTTCAAGGTTCCCTTTGGTCTTGATAGAGCTGGTGTGGTGGATTAGGTATTGGACTGGGAGTTAGAGGATATCAAATCTAGTGACAATTTAACTCCTTATAAAGTTGCCAACCCGGAATAAAATATTTTACCTAATTCTCTTTTAAAAAATGTTTTTAAAATGGAAAAATAATTTTGTGAGCCCTGTTGAGTTGTGTGATGGCTTATTTTCTTAGTGATCAAGAATTTATTGAATACCTGTTACTCACTGTGCTAGTGGTTGAGCATGTAAAGATGAGTTAAGCGCAGGCAGCTTAGTAGAGAACACAGCTTTTGAGTTATTCCATGACATGTTTAGAGAACCACGTTTGTAAAGGGAGTAGGGTTTTCTTCTAGTTTCTACACCCTCTCAAAGGCTTTACTAGTATTCAACTTTACTTTCTAAAACTCTACACAGTGTTTGAGCATGTTTTATTAAGTGAAATTTGCCACAGTAGAAAATCAGGTAGATTACTTCCTTTGGCCAAAATGCAATAAAAGTAGAAATTTAAAACAAAAGGATAGGGACTTCCCTGGTGGCGCAGAGGTTAAGAATCCGCCTGCCAGTGCAGAGAACACGGGTTCGAGCCCTGGTCCGGGAAGATCCCACATGTCGCGGAGCACCTGAGCCCGTGTGCCACAGCTACTGAGCCTGCACTCTAAAGCCTGTGAGCCACAACTACTGAGCCCACTCGCCTAGAGCCCGTGCTCCTCAACAAGAGAAGCCACCGCAATGAGGAGCCCGCGTGCAGCAGCAAAGACCCAACACAGCCAAAAATAAATAAATAAATAAATAAAACAAAAACGAAAAATAAAAGATAAACAAAATTTGATGTTTAAAAACCACTTGGAAATAACTCTTGAATTAAAGGGATACATATTATAAAACGTTTAATTACCAAGGAAGTAATTGTCTGGTCCTCAAGAGTCAGTAATTAACCATGAAGTCTCATTTGTTTAATTTCCAGAAGAAATCTCAATACAAGACTTCTTCCTCACACTTTCCATAGAAACATCTCCTGATCATTCCTGATGATTTCTGGATGTGCCTGAGTTAAAAGAATATTCATTGTCCTGCCGTTCCAGTGTTGCTGCTTCAGTCCATTTAACCCAACAATGAGAAATACTTTCTGTTAAGTTGACGTAGTTAAAATGGCCTAGGTTAATTATTGAGTGTCCATCCCATAGGCTGGAGGCCAGGAGAGCTTGGGTCAGGAGAATCAGGTACTGTGCAAAGTGCTTCACATACATTATCTCATTTATTCCTTGGAAGGCAGATGGTGGTGTTCCCATTTTACAGATGTGGCAACGGACACAGAACCTGCAAGTGATAGAACCAAGATTGGAATCCAGGGCCGACTTTGCTGCCCATCTTCTGTTGCCTAGGCTGTGCTCTTCTTACCAAAGGTTTCTTTTCACTAGAAAGAGAAGCACCTTACTTTTACCAAATGTGATAGAAACTGTTGAATACAATTGAACTTGAAGAACAAAACTAAACACTTTTTTAAAAAGCTCACTTTATCTCCTGTTTAATAAAATTAGGCTATGATTGTAACTTCTATGTGTTAATTCTTAGGCTAAAAAAATGAATAGTTTCCTTGATCTTTGTCATATTTTTCCTGAAAAACTACATGACCTTCTTTACGATGTTTGACTTTTGTACAAGATCATAAGTAGGGGCATTTTTGTAAAACCTATGCTGGGGTTTAAACAGTTTCTCCCAAAGCCTTTTGGAATTCATTGCTACACAAATCATTCTCCTTTCAAGTCTTTTATGTCCCTGTTGATTTTTCCTTCTTTAATTCTCAATTAGTCTCATTCTTCCTGATCCTTGTTTGACTTGGTATGATGCTAGTATTCTCCACTGTGACTTTCATCCAACTCATAAAATTGCTTATCCTTTATAAGATTTGCAGTTTCTTTTTAAAGTTTTTTTTTTGCATTGTGTTCGCATTATAATTATGTAGTGCTCTTAGAGTCAGAGAAACTGCTCACACTTGGCGATTTGGCAGGTGGGGGTGTGACGTGGGGGGATGGGGATGGATGTGATTGCTCTTCTCTCAGGCAGGGTTGAGCGCTTACTCATTTGGTAAGTGGTCAGTGGAGAACTGTTTCATATTAAGATTATGTTTGCTTCTCTCTGTGACTTTCTAAATATAGGTCTCTTAACATCAAGTAACTTCTGGTAATGAGTGCTCCAATAATGAATATCTTTGGAATTCATCTACTTTTTTGCATCCTTACTGCCAGTTACTTAGTGAATAATGAAGGCTTTCTTTCGCCTGGGTGACTGAAACTTCTTTCCTGGGCTTTCCTAGTTCATTCCGTTCTTTGCAGTTAGGTTGCTGTCTTTCTAAATTAATACTCTTCTTAAACTTAAATCTCTTCAGTAACTCTCCAGGGGCACTTACGATAAAGTCCAAGTTACTTAAAGACTTGTGGTTTACTAGGCCCCTCCCTACTTGTCAGTGTTCAGCTTTTGCTTCTTGACATGATCAGTTCTAGCTGAGTGATGAGTACTTTTACTTCTAGAACTTTGCTCTAACTCTGCTGGGAACAGTCTTCCTCTTCTCTTCAATTCCTCTTCCTACTTCCCTCCCCCATCCCCTTTACCTAGGTGGTGCTTATTCATCTTCAGGTGTCAAATGTCACTTTCTCTGGGAGTCTTTTCTAACCTTTCAAGACTGGGCTTTCTGCGTTTTCTCTGTTTTCCCAGACCATATTGTATTTACCTCTACTTTAGTTCTTAGCATATAGTATTTGCTCACCAGCATTGCCCTCTAGATGGTAAACTCTGTGAAAAGTTGAATGAATGAATAATTTCAGCTCTGCTCTGCACTAGCATTATGACCTTTGTTAAGCCTGTCAATCTTCCTGGGTCTCATTTTCTTGTCTGTAAAATGAAATAATTTGATTAGGTGACTTCAAAGAGTTCTTTCAGCTTAAAAAAATTCCGACTTCCAAAATTCTTTCTCATGTCCATTTAATCTGCAGTTTCTGCGTTCGAAACAAAGCTCATCTGATTTGCCTAATTAAACAATTAAAGAGTAAACAAGAAGCATTATACTTTCTCCTTGAATGAGTGCCAGTTCTTTTGTTGCTGTTCCTTTTTGCTGATGGCATGAGGCCATTTTTGAATATGAGCATATTGTTGCTCATGCACAAGGGCTTTTAAAATGTCAAGTATTAAAAAAAAAAAAATGTCAAGTATTTGTTGTTTGCCAGGTTTCCTTTTCTCAGCACAAATTGAAGCACAGTATGCATGCTTTTCTCCTGTGGTAGTTATTCTTACGAATCCCCTTCTACCCAACTGCATTTGCTGTTCCTGTGGGCTAAGAGAATGCAGTGGTTCTGGAAGGGCAGCAGTGCACCGCGGCGCTGCTTGTGAACTGAATTCCAGCCGGAGATGTAATTCCTATGATCTTGATATATGACATTTGAATTCCATTAACGTGCATGGGATTCTTCTTGACATCTTTCTGGAAGTTGCCAAAGCTGGGCACCAGCAATGTGAGATCAGTGTCTGGAAGTAGAGTGAAGCAAGCAGTCATCCAGGCTTTGCAGAAAGTGCCTTTGCTTCCTAAAGCCCAGATTACTTGCATTTCCTCCCTTTTCACGCATCAAAGAGTTATTTCCTTCAATGATATAATTATCTTAGCTGTGTTTTCTGTGGAAAACCAAAATTTTAGTAATGGATGAATAAGGGGACGTACTGTTTGTGATTATATTGAACTGTTAGCAACACCTAGGGAATGATTTTGTTTCTGGCACTAGGACAGAACAATTTGGAAAGGCTTCAGGTCTGACCTTTCTCTGTTGCCAGGTGTTATTTTGTTACTGTGCTATCGTGGGTAGCTGTGAGGGAGTGGAAATCATATTGGACTGGAAGGTAGAACACAACTGGGCAGGAATGTTTTCACTTCACTAGTTCTGGATCTGCAGGCAAGGTTATTTAACCTCCTTTGTCAGAACAAACCTCTGGTTTTTCATCAGTAAAATGGGGATACTAATACTCTAATAATTCACAAAAGGCTGAGGACTGAATAATCTCTGCACAAAGGTGTATAAATCACGGGTGGTTCAAGCAAATTTTAGAAATATTGATAACGGAAAACATTTCTATCTTCAAAAGTAAGAATTTTGTATTGGTTAATGCAGCCCAGACATAGAGTTGGCTTTCTTGTAATCTAATGAATTCCTCATTAGTGGCCAGCCTGAGTGTTCTCTCTAATATTGTGAGTCTATAATTCAGTGAGACTTTACTACTGAAAGGGGGCATTGAATCTAGTCTTCTGGGTAACTCTCATCCTGGGATAGTGTAGTGGGAGTTATCTATAGCTGTGCAACAGATTACCCTGAAAACTCAGTAGCTGGGAGCAGCCATCGTTTGTTACCTCAGAGTTTCTCTGGGTCAGGAGTCCAGGTGCAGCCTGAGTGTTCTGGGTGGGGTCTCTCCGGTGGCTACAGTGCAGGTGTCATCTGGGGCTGCAGTCCTTGTCGGGCTGCTGAGGTTGGATCTGCTCACCTGAGTGCTTGTGGGCAGGCGTCAGAAGATGTGTTTCCAAACTCGCTCCTGAGGTCTCTTCCTCGGGCTGCCTCACCTCATGGCAGTGGTTTCCCTGAGTGAGAGAAAACACCCACAACGGAAGCCAGTCTTTTATAATCTAATCTCAGATGTGGCAAGCCATCAGTTCTGTGTTCTCTTCCTTAGAGGCAGATCAGAAAGTCCCGCCCACACTCAGGGAAGGGGAAGACACGGTGGTGTGAATTCCAGGAGGCGCAGATCTCTGGGGGCTGTCTCAGAGGCCTCCTGCGCAGCTGGATTTCATGCAGCCTTTGTGTGGCAAAGCGGCGTGGGGTAGACTTGACTTCCCAAGTCCTGTTTTGTAATCCTGAGTTATATCTAGTTATTTCTTAATGTTCTCAAGGGGAAGTCATTTTTTGAATTTGTTGAAGCCCATCCTAAAGTCCCTTTAGCGGTTTTCTCTAATGGAGATGAATGTCTTTTTTTCAGCACCCTTGTCTGAACTCTAGAAGCGGTTGTATAGAACTTGAAGCCTGTTTCAGTAGGTTTTGAAGAGCTGTCAGATGGAATACGATGAAGTACCTTCAATGTATCTTTTGTTTTCTAAGACCGTAATTGTACCTTATGTTTTAAAAAATTTACAAGGTGCTTGATAGCATTATAACAGCACCACTTTCTGAGCCATTATTTAGGCTTCACAGAGACTCCAGGTACATGGCGTTATGGAGTAGATTGTAGATAATCACTCTTTGATCAAATACTGTTATGACTGTTCAGTCTTCTCAGGGAGATTTTGTAGGCATTTAAGAAAGCATCCTTTTTTATTCTGAGCAGTCTGCTGACTTATGTTTATCATGTTGCCTGTTAAAAGAGGACAAATTGACTTAGAATTAATTTTTATTAACCTGAAATAAGTGTGGGCTTCATTGTATTTCCCAGTTCTTTCTCAAAAACCAAAGCTCCCTTTTGCAGAAAAGTAGCTTGCCAGCGAAGAAAGAGCGTGGGACTGGGAGCCAGTATACCTGTAGTTAAGTCCTGGCTTTGTCCTTAAATCTGTGTTTGACCTTGGGACATTATCTCATCATATGGGGCTTCAGCGTTCCCATATGATGTTTTCTTCCAACTTTAAAATGGTATTCAATTTCTTTTCTCCTCCAGGACAGTCTTGGGGGTAACAGCAAGACAGCCATGGTAGCTACTGTGAGTCCGGCCGCTGACAACTATGACGAAACCCTTTCAACCCTGCGGTATGCAGATCGTGCCAAGAACATTGTGAACCACGCTGTGGTGAATGAGGATCCCAATGCACGGATTATCCGGGACCTCCGAGAAGAAGTAGAAAAACTCCGAGAGCAGCTAACCAAAGCAGAGGTATGAGGCACAGCCGAGCAGCATTATGGGTCTAGGGAAATCCAGTAAAGCTAGAACTTGAATTTTCTTCCCCCAGGGCCATAAGTGATGAGTAGAATTTTTGAATTTCCTATAGGAAGAGAAATTTGAGATGAGTAATAAAGGAAGACAGGTAAATTGTCATAGTTGAAATTTAGATAGTTTTTACAGGTGTTAAAGGATTGAATAGGAGAGAATAAGGGGAATTGAGAAAATGTTTCTTTCCACAGTATAGGCAGCCGACGAGAAAAGAGGTACAGTAGAATAGGGTAGAGAAAGAGATGCTTGAAACAAAAATAGATACAACTTAATAATAGTGCAGCAAATGGTGGCAAATGTGCATAGGCTAATTAGAAGAGGAATCAAACAGATTTTTGTTGTATCAGATGTTCACAGGTTGAAGTCCAAACAGGAATGGTAAGGAGGTCTTGCACACCATAATAAGCTAGTTTTTCCATGTTATGGGTTAATTATGTTCATAGGAAAAACTATAGCAGAAGTAGCCATCTGTTTAAAACTGCTCTGTTTCACTATCCTTTGTACATTCTATAGTGTATGATATTTATGTTCCATTACTGAATTTAAAACCTACACAATTCTAACCAAAAATCTTTTTTATTAATTTTTAAAGATATATTTTTAAAAATTTATTTCATTGAAGTGTAGTTGATTTACAGTGTTGTGTCAATTTCTGCTGTGCAGCACAGTGATTCAGTTATATACATATTCTTTTTTTTTTTTTTTTTTGCGGTACGCGGGCCTCTCACTGCCGAGGCGTCTCCCGCTGTGGAGCGCAGGCTCCGGACACACAGGCCCAGCGGCCATGGCTTACGGGCCCAGCCGCTCCGCGGCATGTGGGATCTTCCCGGACCGGGGCACCAACCCGCGTCCCCTGCGTCGGCAGGCGGACTCTCAACCACTGCGCCACCAGGGAAGCCCCTATATACATATTCTTTTCCATTATGGTTTATTACAGGATATCAAATATAGTTCCCTGTGCTATTCAGTAGGACCTTTTTGTTTATCCATTCTATACATAATAGTTTCAAATGCTTATCCTTTTATCAAAAGTGTCAGATTCAGGATCCCTACTTTAATTAGCATTTCTGTTCCCATTATTTCCAAGCACTGTGGGATTCTTTCTTGGGCCTGAGGCCACAGCCCTCTTCCTTCTCATGACCCGTTTTCTGGTAGTATAACAGTAAATTACATGGTCAAAACAATTATCTTGATTGTATTTTTGCCTGTTGAATCCTATCCTGTTTTTACAGGAATAATTTTACAGTTCATCAAGATTGTTTGAAAGTTTGTTTCTGTCTTCCTGGTATCAATAACACCGTCCAGTTTTTAACATGTGCAAATTTAGTCTGCATATACTTGAAGAAATACCCAAAGTCATCAATTAAGAGTAGAATGAGGCTTCCCTGGTGGCGCAGTGGTTGAGAATCCGCCTGCCGATGCAGGGGACACGGGTTCGTGCCCCGGTCCTGGAAGATCCCACATGCCGCGGAGCGGCTGGGCCCGTGAGCCATGGCCGCTGAACCTGCGCGTCCAGAGCCTGTGCTCCGCAACAGGAGAGGCCACAACAGTGAGAAGCCCGCGTACCACAAAAAAAAACACACACACAAAAAACCAAAAACAAAACAAAAAAAGAGTAGAATGAGTCACACATATGAGTCTAGACCTATTGAGATTTACAAAAAATAAGCCCTTGGTAGCTTGAACTTCTTATCTCCCTAAATGTAATTAGATCTCACAGTAACAGCAGGTTAGAGAAAAATGAAAAGGTTAAGTCTTCTTTCAAACCCACTGGATAACTAGGTGAGTCTGTGGGACCCACACAGTCTGGATGCTGCAGGTCAGTGGCAGTCCTTGTGTCTTAGGCAGGTCAGGGACCCCAGCGAGCTGTAGAGCTAAGAGGAGTCAGGTTGTTCCTCTTGTCCTCCTGGATTTAGCAAATTCTTTTTTCAGGGCATTGTACAGACATTTCATGAAATAAACATTTTGCTTGTAGGCAATGAAATCTCCAGAGCTGAAAGACCGGCTGGAAGAATCAGAGAAGCTAATCCAGGAAATGACTGTGACCTGGGAGGAGAAATTAAGGAAAACCGAGGAGATTGCCCAGGTTCGTGCTTCCTGCTTAAGGAGAGAGAAACATTGTGGCAGTTTGCGCAGTGCAACTCGGAGCATGTTTCTGATTTCTTTTTGATTTTTAGCTTTAGGATGGCAAATCTAGCAGATTAAGATTTAAATAAGATCTAAATCCAGGAGTCTGTACTTTACAAAGTTCGTTTGAAGGATAAAGACATAATTACAATTAATTGTTCATTATGTAAGAAATATATTTTTAGTGTCATAAAATTTTTTAAATGATATAACTAGCCATTGGCTCTGAACACCCAATTCTCTTAAGTGCTTTGCAAACGTAAGGAACTTACCCAACTTCAAAATTAGTAGTAGTAGATATTTAGGCTATGAGTTTCTTGCTTCCATATGACAACTCAGTAAAAGTAATATGAAATACCTAAATCTGAGGTGACTGTCTCTTATTTTTAGACCATTAAATATAAAGTGGTAAAATCTTCCAGTGGGTGCATTAGCATTTGGAGAAAATCCTAAAATGTCCAACTGTGTGCTTAGTAAAAGGTTTACTCTGTGACTTTCCTCTTAGATGCTTATTCAGCCTCTGTTTTAGAAATATATATGATAATGTGGAGGTCAGTACCACACTGAGCAGTCTTCTCATGATTGGTTAACTCTCTTGGTAGATTTAACTGAAATCTTTTATTCTTCCATTTCTGTTCATTGGCCTCAGTTTGTTCTTCCAAAGCTAAGAGAATAAGTGTCCCACTTGTATGTAGTAACTAATAATAACCAATACTTACTGGGTACACGTACATATTGGGTCCTATGCTAAGCACTTTTAAATATACAGCATTTTATTTAATCCTCCCAATAGCCCTGCAAGATAGGGTCTGTTATTACCCAGATATTGAAAGTCACCTCTACCTCTTCCCCTCCTTTTCTAAAATTAAAAATTTCTTGTGTTTTCAACTGTTCCTTGTATTAACAAAATAGAACTTGCTACTTCTTTTGTTACCCAGTAGATTCCATCTTTCAATGTGCTGTCCAGAATCGATCAGTACATCAGATGTTGTAGGACAGTACCATTATTATGTAGCATAAGGTGGATGTTAGATTTATATGAGTGCAGACTAGGATTTAAGTTGATTTTTACACATTTTTATTACAGTCCTTTTCAAAATAAATAAAAATATGAGTGTAATAAATCCACATGTACCCATTACCCAATTTCATTAAAGACCAACATAAGACCAGTCTTGTTTTATCTGTATCCCTGCACTGGGTTATTTTAAAGCATATCCCTCAAATTACAGAGAAGAGAATACACCAGTGTATAAACTTTACTTATCATTACATATTACACTTGCTGTTTTTCATAAATTAAATTCTTATTTAATAAGAATTAATTCTAATTATCATTCAATTTGGAACTAATTTATGTGAGCATTTTTGGGCTACTCTGAAAGTAAAACATTGACTTTGAAGTGCTGTTGTACTTGGGTTGCTTTGCTCTGATACAAAGCAGGGTAGGTCTAAGTGAGAGTGTAGTGCTGATGCAGCTTATCTGTAGCATCTTTCCTCACCTAACTGTCCTCTCCCTCCGTCATATGCCCCTTTTGAGGACAGCCTGATTTTATCCAACACCTCATTTAACACCTTATCTTTCCAAGCCCCCAGGCCTCAGTGCTGCTGAGCTTTCTTTTCCTCTCTCACTGGTCTATTGGTCATTGACCTCTTTGCAGTACAGACTGGCATTTCCTAAAATGTATTTCTGGCAGTATAGCCACAGACTGTTAATAAGTCTTAACAGACTGTTAATAGCCACAGACTGTTAATAAGGGAAAAAAATGGTTCATGATCAGATAACTTTGAGGAAACCTAGGTGAACTCAGCCAAATGGATTTCTTTTTTGAAGAGCTTTTTGGGAGTCTGTTCTAAGTCAGCCAGACTCTCAAAGTCCTCTGGGTTCTGTGGCATCTTCCTCTAGTATGCCCACCCCCAGTGAATCCTGCCAGTGAATCCCTGCCAGTGAATCCTGTGGAAGCTGTCTGTACCCTTTTGACGCTTAAATCATGAGTACTTTATTTACTATTGAGTTTTTTGTGTGTACTTTTATTACCTAATGAGTTTGTAAGGTTCTCAAGAAAAAAGGCTGTATCTCTTAGTTTTTGAAACTATGTGCTCAGTAGTATTTTTGAGTAAACAGCCAGAACTCAAGTTGACTAATTTCTCAGCCCAGTGGCATATCTTTGATACCAAATTCTCTTATTTTCATCTTTTATGTTCTCAATAAAGAAATGTACACTTACGTGAGATAGATCAAGGGTTAGCAAACTAAGCCCTTGGGCAAAAACCCGGCCTGCCACTTCTTTTCATAAATAGTTTTATTGGAATGTGCCATGCTCATATGTTTTTGTATTTTTTATGGCTTCACAGTTGAATAGCTGTGACAGAGACCATAGGACCCAGATGACTAAAATATTTACTGTTTGACATTTTATAGAAAATGTTAACTAATCTCTGATATCAGAAGCAATATTTAGTAAATGTAACTATATTTTATTATACAATACTTGTTTATTCTTTGAACTGATTGTTGCAAACTTTTGCCGTTTTTTAATGATTAAAAACTTCTGAATTTTTGGTGGCAGATGTAGCAACGAATTGACAGTTTTTCAACGCTGTGCCCTTTGGTTTAAACAAAACTTTTGTGGTATTTCTACCATTATAAAATCTCAAACGACAGGAAAACACTTAAGGAAGTAGGATAAAACAGTAGTTTACTCTAACTGCTAACTTAGACAATTATTCATTTATATTCCTTTCTCTGGCATAGATTTGCTCAGTGACCTTGGGCAAACCTATATTCAGTGACATTCATTCCATATTCAATTATCAATATTGAGCAAAAGTCAGAGAGTTATTATTGGAGAGTGTGGGAATGGTTGGAAGTAAGTCAGTCTGGCCATTCATTATAGGGCTTTGAATGTCAAACTGAAATTCTTAGATTTCAGCAGTAGGAGCTAGAAAGATTTTGATTTATCTGTTAAAACATTTACTATATGCTATGTACTATATAAGTATATCCTGGCTGTTTTATATACATTATCTCATTTAAATCCTGTCTTTTCCCTTACTCTGAGTGGCTTTACCTTTGTTAAGTCGTATAGTCTTTTTCAGGCTTGCTTTTGCCTCTGTATGAATTAAAATTTTGCCACTAGATGACAGTAACCAAACTTCTTCTAAATCTTTTAATTATTTCCATAGTGAAAATTACTAGAGTCCTAATAAGAATATAAGTAAAAGAAACTATTGTATTACAAAAGTAGTATTTACTTATAGAAAATACAGAAAGATTATTATGAAGAAAATTTAATTGAACGGATCCAGTCATCCAAAGAAAACTACTGTTAATATCTCTGGTTTCTTCCACGTTTTCCCAGTGCACAGATTAATATGCTAGTTATACCCTACATTTTAAATTTAATATTAGTTCATGAACATCTACCCACTTCATTCGTAGTTTACAAAAAAAGACATTTTTATAGAGAAATGTTTCTTCTCATTATTGGAATAATTCTTTAATTACACCAGTATCCCTTTGTAAAAGACCCTTCCCTCAGTAAGGGACCATACAAGATATATTAGAATTGCTTTCTTCATTTTAGGAACATGGTTCTTTATCAAGGATAATCATTGCTTAGAATTGAGTGCTGAAAACTAATGGCTAGTGCTAAACCACTCAACACTTCCGAAAGAACCCAGTAATGTTTGTTAGAGAAGAGACTCAATTCAAAGGCCCAGGACCAAAATATCCCCTTCAGTATGTTTGTAATAGTATCATTCTAGGGGTGATTGACTGGGTTGCAGTGGCCATATAAATTAGGATGTGTGCCTAGAAATAGCAAAATTCGAAGGCTGCAATTTAACTATACTGCAGACTTACTGTGTGGCCCTAGTTAAATGACTTAGTTTGTGTTGTCTTTCCTCAGAATCAGAGGTTCTTGATGACTCATCACTATTCTCTATTTATACATAGTTAAAGACACCCTGCTCTGCCCCTATTCATATTCCTCAGTTATAGAGCATCGGTTGGAGGATTCATGTGTATCTCCCTAGGTGCACGCATGTGTATGTTGCATGTACTCACAGATAGGTAGGCACGAAAAGGAAAGGTTCATGTTCTTATGAAAATAGGGCTTTACTGAATATGCAGATTTTATTTTGACAAATTCACGACACCGACGATTTGAGTGCTCTTGTGTGTTATGCACTGTGCTAGGTGCTAGGAATACACAGTGGAGAGATAGCGTCCCTGCCCTCACAGAGAAACGGTCGAGTAAAAAGTTACCAAGTTTGAGAACAGGTGTGCTCCAGATAGGAGGAATAGGTGTAAAACTCTTAAGCTAGAGAGAGCGTTCTTGAGACTTTGAGGGCCCTGGAAGATGTTCCACTAACTTCGTACAGGCTTTGAGAGTAGGGGTGACAAGATGTGATGATGGTGAGTAAATGGGCCAGATTGAAGGGCCTTGTGGGCTTGGTTGAGGGAGTTTGGCCTTTATCCCTGCTGGAGACCCACTGAGGATATCAAGCAGCAGAGTGTATTAAATACTTGGCTTTTCAGAAAGATCACAGTTGAGTAAAACACACTTATATTTGCTCATATATACAGAATTAAATGTGAAAGGTGAATTCAGGATGTTAGATATTTTCAAGAATGAAAAATGAGACCTTAGTATATTTGGTTGCTGTTTGTAACGGCTTCATTTTATTTATTTATTTAAAAAATTTATCTATTTATGGCTGTGTTGGGTCTTTCTTTCTGTGCGAGGGCTTTCTCTAGTTGCGGCGAGCAGGGGCCACTCTTCATCACGGTGCGCGGGCCTCTCACTATCGCGGCCTCTCTTGTTGCAGAGCACAGGCTCCAGACGCACAGGCTCAGTAGTTGTGGCTCACGGGCCCAGTTGCTCCACAGCATGTGAGATCTTCCCAGACCAGGGCTCGAACCCGTGTCCCCTGCATTAGCAGGCAGATCCTCAACGACTGCGCCACCAGGGAAGCCCCCATGGCTTTGTTTTTGAAATTAAAAAATTTTACCTAACAAAGCAACATTATAGTTTAGAAAGAGAACAAATGCAGTAACCTATATAATACCATGTCCTAAGTAACATATTTGAGTTATAAAGTTATTTAATAATTACTATAATATATGACTTTTTATATCTTGCTGCCTCAATAGCTGTGGAATTAATTCTTCTCTAATGCCTTTACAGGAGCGGCAGAAACAGCTTGAGAGTCTTGGAATATCTCTTCAGTCTTCTGGAATTAAAGTTGGGGATGATAAATGTTTCCTCGTTAATCTCAACGCTGATCCTGCTCTGAATGAACTTCTGGTTTACTACTTAAAGGTGAAGTAGCAGGCTTTTCTAATATTTCCTACCAAAGAGTAGAGCAGTATTTCGCAGTACTTTTTTTTTATACTTGGAGAACCATACATATTCAAGAATATGAGTTAGCAAATTGTTTTTATTTGATCAAGCTGGAGTATAGAAAAATCTTGAGTTTCTGAGATCAGTTTCCCTTTGTAGTCTTTGAGTGATGTCATTCAACCTAGTAAATATAAAAGATGATATTCTGATATTATTTCCAACAAGTTAAGTAGTTTAACTTCTATCATTTAATGTGATTAAACTGGGGAGTTAAGTAGATAACTTTAAAGCTTAAACAGTGACTTTTAAACTAAACGGTTTCATCGGTAGACTAAAGCTTTTGTGATTTCTGTGAAGCACAGCTTTTGGTAAGTGGTTTCTTAGCTTACAGTGGAAATGTTTAAAGAAAGGTATTAGGACCACTTGATTTGAAATTTGTGTTTCCAGTAACTCTTAGGAAAATTAAAAATTTTGGATTATCAACTTATAAAAAAGGAGAGTAAGTCACTTAGAGGCTGAGAGGGTCAGAGTATGGAGCAGAAAAAACCAGATATACATTGAAATCTATATACATTGTATATATGTATATACTCATATACATTGAAACCTATAGGTTGTGGGATGTATCAGGAAGACAAGAGACAACTTTAGGATGAGCATGATATCAGACACTATATAAATTATAAGGAGTTTGCCAGAATTACCTTTGCCAACCCTAGAGCATAAATGAGTTATATAATGGACTATATGACTCTGACGTATGGTTAATGAATATTTAGGAGGAAGATTTTTCCCCTCATAGTATAGGAACTATCTATGTGGGTTTAACTAAGTTAGTGACTAGGACAGTAAAGACATGAGCTGGTACAGTTGGAAGCAGCTTTAAAATTAGAGAATTGTGTCGTTTCACTTCTAAAGAGACTGAAGAATTCACGACACGTTGGCTGGTTTCCCAGTTTTTATCAGAGGTATCTGGGGTAATTGCTTTGTGATATTTTGATAAGGCCCTGTTATTCATAAGTATCTTATACCATGTTTTATTACACTGTGAGTTAAATTGTGTGTTTGTTGCATACAATCGTGTGCACACTCAGGTGCTGTGTGTAGTGGGAGCAGTGCTGGGGTAGGAGGGAGATGCCCTCAGTTTCTAGTCCAGCACCACTGCTTGGCAGATGTTTGCTCTCAAGTCCTTTGCCCCCCACAGTCTACAGATTCTTCCTCTATAAATGGAAGTTTTCTCTGTCCGGCTACCTCACAGGGTTCCTGGAGGATTAAATGGGCTTTAAGATATAGAAGCACTTTATAAACAGAAACAATATCCACATATAAATTATTCCACATACCATTTTCTCATTTGATACTCTGGTACCTTATTATATTATCCTTGTCCTTTGAAAAAAATGACATATTAGCACATCTCTTGCTGTGCTTCTAACAATGCTGGCAGCTTTTTGTGTTAGAATTTCAGCTGTAGATGTTCATATGCTTTAGGAGAGATGCAGTATTAGAAGAGGAGTTAAATATTCTGCCCTTTTAGTTTTCAGAACTGTGAGTTCTTTTTCTTTCTGATGTGATGAAGTTCAAATTGGAGCACACAAACACACACACCCAACAAGAAAAAAAGCCTGATTCATATCTGTTCCTTAACTAAAAAAGTACACAAAGAAAACTATTTAAAGACTTTTGGAGAGCAGTTAAAATATTTCTGGTCATCTTGTATGGAGGTGTTGGGATTCTGTTTCAGACTGTGTGGTCAACCCTGTTTTGGCAGAGTTGGAGGCAGTGTTGGTTCTTCACTGCCCAAGCTAAACCCATGACAAAAGTTATATTCATGACAAAGCATATTCAAAAGGATGATCTCAGTCCAAGAACAGTTTTTGCTTCAGTAAAGTGATACCATGATGTGGGTTGGAGGAATTTAGAGACCGAGCATTTTTTTATTTCTTTGCTTTCAAATTTTCAAGTTGGTTTACATGCTGGACAGATGACCTCATGTCAGTGGGTGACTTTGAGCACCCCATGTATAAAATGAGGCCCCTGGATTAAATTACCTCTAGCATTCTTTCTAGTTCCAGGTTTTGAATGGTTCTCTTCTAGAATAGAATCCTCCATTTATTTGTTCTGTCTGGAACTGGCAGAGTATGGTGGCCAAACCATAGGTAGAATGTAATTCACAAGGTAATTTTGCATCTAATTTGCATAGCCAGGCAGCTCTTGCTTTGCATGGTTCCAACATACACAAATTACAGTTAATGTGAGTTAGTAAATAATGTTGACATTGCGGGCATTCACGAGCTTCTAGATGTGCAGCCAGAGGAAGTTAGTGAAGGTGAACTTACCGATGTGAATAATGAAAGTGGTTGTGATGAGAAGACTGCAGGTGTCTCAAAGGGAGGGACATCAGAAAGCACTTCACATGAGAGGAGCTCTTGGAGATACTCTGCAACATTGAAAGCACAAAGGATAAAATGGTAGAAGCTTAGAAAGGAGTATGACAGTTCGCCAAGGTGTGGAAAATATGCTCACTCCATGCTGTAAGATATATGTTGAGAAGAAGGCAAGCACTGTTCTAACTACTCCCGGTACATACGCTTTTAACAAAGAAAAAACTGCTTTAAATTTCAGTATTTCTAATGTTCTAAATGACAGTGTACTAAATAAATACTAGTTTAACTGGTTTTTCATTTTCCTATACATTGTAACAGTAAGAGATTTCTTCATGTTTTTACGGACAGTTTTAAATGTCACAGAATTATTGCAGTTTTCCCCAATGATTATTAAGATCTCCTTGCTAAATTATTTTTATAGTCCTGCGCTCTTGCGCAAAGCGAGGCCTGCCTGCAGTTCTGAGGTTGACTTGGAGATTTATTTATATTTTTTAAACTTTGTTATTTTTAAAATTGTTGTACAAGTTTTAAAGGTTACAGTCCATTTAGAGTTATTACAGAATGTTGGCTATATTTCCCGTGTTGTAGATAGGCTACATTTTTGTAGCCTATCTTACACCCAATAGTTTATACCTCCCCACCGTATCACCTCTCCCCACTGGTAACCACTAGTGTGTTCTCTATATCTGTGAGTCTGCTTCTTTTTCATTATATGCATTAGTTGGTTATATTTTTTAGATTCTACATGTAAGTGATACCATATAGTGTTTGTCTTCGTCTGGCTTATTTTCACTTAGCATAATGCCCTCCGAGTCTATCCGTGTTGCTGCAAATGGCAAAATTTTATTCTTTTTTTCTTTTTATGGCTGAGTAGTATTCCATTCCATTCCACGTCTTCTTTATCTATTCATCTGTTGATGGACACTTAGGTTGCTTCCGTATCTTGGCAATTGTAAATAATGCTGCTATGAACATTGGGGTGCGTGTATCTTTTTGAATTAGTGTTTTTGTCTTTTTGGGGTATGTACCCAGGAGTGGAGTTGCTGGGTAGTTCTGTTTTTAGTGTTTTTGAGAGACTTGTAGATTTTTACCAGCATAAGCCAAGCTTCTAGAGGGAAGAGCTGCTCCCCTCACCTTAAAAATGTTATGCTAGTAATACACTTTTTTTCCTAAAAAGTCTGATAAGAACATATTAGAAAAAGAAAGGGGCATTAGTGCCCAAATTTCAACAGCCAGAGAAGACCACAGTTAATATTTAATATTTTTATCTGTATCTTCTGGATCTATTCCTGTGTGTGTGTGTGTATATTTATAGTGATATGTATTTTTTAATTACAGAAATAGGATTACAGTATGATTGATTCCAGTCACACCTTTGAATTATCCACCGAATCGTTCAGGAAAGCTATTTTGCTTGTGCAGTTCTGGATCTACTCTTTTCACGAGTCAGCTACTAATGGCTGGGGAAGCAAGGGTGATTCTGAAGGACTTGGGGCAAATTATCACACACACACTTGATCAGGATTTGTACCAGTGATGCAGCAGCGTCAAAGCACACGTACGTAGGGAACAGTCCTAGGGGGAGCGTAGCTCCCGTTGGCAGTAAGCTGCCTGCTATCATTCAGTCAGTGGAGGGAGGCTATCAGCAGAATGGCAGGGCCACAGCCATTCTGCGTTGATAGAGCTGTGGGCCAGGCTTCAAGGGGCCCAGGACGAATAAGACAGCGGTGTGGCCGTGAGACATGCCTGGTTGGAGGCAGTTTGACTCACCTGGAGTAATACTTGAATTTGTAAAAGACAGAAAGGTACCTTTCCTTCCTTCCTCACCTCCATTCCCGAAAGGCTGTCTTCAGAGTCCTGGTTCTGTCAAGCCAGGGCGATTTCGTTTATTAAGGGCTGTTGGTTATTTACGTATGTAAAGAGCAACGAATACTTCTGTGCTTATTGCTCCTGGTACTTGCTGCAATCTTGGAAGGCAGTGGTCGGAGCTGGATCTACACTCAGACTCCAATCTGGGGGGTAGTTCAGAGCTTTCCTCCACCTCCAACCCCAAGGACAAAAAGGATTCTAAAGTCACAGTAAGGACTCCAGCTAGAATTTCTCATGGAGAGAGGAAAGGGATTATAATAGAAATGGCCTAAGCCAAGTGCTTTGGGGATCTTTTCTTCTTTTTTATGTGATCTTGGGCTCTTTTTCTCTTCAGACTCTTTTTTTTTTTTTCCTTTTCGAACTCCTCTGCGCCTTGTAGTTGGTGTTAGAGAGGGAAGAAGTGGGGAATGGAGACCGACATGGAACACATTCGTTAGGCCTGCTACTGAATGTCGCTGAAGCATTACTTGTAGTTTACACTTGATCAAGCCCCGTTCTCCAGCTTAGGGAAGTATGGGACTGGCCAAGAAGCCTCAGCCAAGATCAAGGAGTAGACATTTGCCTGGAATGCCCTCTCTGTATATTGTATATACTCCTTGAGGACTGAACGGGATGCCATGGCACAGTTCTGATCCCAGCTCTTTGTTTCCTTGGAAACACTGCTGCAGCATACTTGAGAGAAGACACCCCCAGAAAAGGGAAAATGAAAATAATAGAAGGGAAGAGGCCTTTTTATGAGGTTGAGATCCCAGAAGAGATGGGAAGAATTGGAACCCAGAGTATGATTAGAAGGGATATTGGCAAAGAAGAGGAGAAAATTGTCTTCCTGAGTCTGAAGGGAACTGATTGTTCATTTATTTTTCTTTTATGTTTATTTAATGGCTAAATGTACCAGGCCTGTGTTACATGCTTGGAATACAGTGGTGGGGTGGTGCAGGTCAGGCTGTTCTCTGCTCTCTTGGAGTTTCCATGCTAGCCATGGAGATGGACAGGAAACCCACGGACAGTCAGTCTGTAAGGAATTCAGGCACGAGAGTAACAGGGTGGCTACTTCTGATTGTTGGTTCAGGATTCACCTCTCTGAGGATGTGTACTTAAAAGCTAAGGTGGAAATGATAAGAAACTACCAATATCAAGATCAGGGGAGGAACACCTCAGACAGAGGAAGCAGTCAGTGTGCTCAGAGAACAGATGCAAGGCCCGAGTGGGTGGGTCACACTCCAGGAGAGGCAGAGTGCTGGGAGCTGGGATAAGAGAGGTAGGCAGGGGCCAGATCACAGAGGGTTTGTAAGCCTGGGTAAGAATTTGAACTTCTTAGAAGTTCAGAGGGAAGCCACTAGAGGATTCTCAATAGGGGATCACGTGATCAGCTGTTGTGGTGGGAGCGAGTGGGGTGGATAGAAGTGGAGAAATAGGAGGAGGCTCTTATATTCACCCAGGCAAGAGAATAGGATGTGATAGTAGACGTGGGAAGTGAGCTGATTCTTGATATATTTCAGAGGGAGAGTCTTTGACGATTTCCTGATTGACACGGGGCTGGAGGTAGACTGCTAAGACAGAGAGAAGACTCCAGGATAGCATCTGAGCTTTTCTAGTTGACCACCTGGGTGTTGGTGGTGCCATTAGTATTGGGGAAGGGAATAGACTCAATGGGGTGGTGGGAAGGTGGAAGCAAAAGTTCTGCTTTGGCCCTTTCACTTTGAAATGTCTTTAGACATCCAAGTTGTGCCAGTAGGCAAGAAATGATGGTGATTATGACTAGGGCAGTGATAGTGGAGGTGGGAGAATGATGGAACTAAAGTCTGTAGTTCCTGGTTGGTGATTTAATTGTGTGTGTGTGTGTGTGTGTGTGTGTGTGTGTATGGTATTTAAAGCATATTGGACTGGATGAGATCATCATGGTCAACGGTCAGCAACCTGCTTCCATGGGTTAAATCTCACCCCCTGCCTGTTTTCATATGGCCCAGGAGCCAAGAATGGCTTTTGCATTTTTTAAATGGTTGGAGAAAAATCAAAAGAATAATAATATTTTGGACTCTTGAAAATTATATGAAGTTCAGATTTCAGTGTTCATAAGTAAAGTTTTATTGGAAAGTAGCCACACTTGTACATTTGTATATTGTCTGGCTGCTTTCACACTACAAGGGCAGAATTGAGTAATTGTGTATGACTCAAAAAGCCTAAAATATTTCATATCTGACCCCTGATCTAGGTGTGTAGAAGGAGAAGGTGGCCTAGGGACACATCCCAGTCAGTATCAACATTTAAGGGCAGTCAAATGTTGAAGCACATAAGAGGGAGTTCGATTTTTATGTCTGTTTTCTCGGGTACCTGCCAAAAAGTGACACTGGTGATTAGGGCTTAGAGAATTGAGTAGTTGGGGGTTTAGGGTAAGAAGAATGCATCTACCATATCTTTTATGAGATCTAGGGAGACCATGTAATTCATAAAATAATTCAGACTCCTTGCATTTGAATAGCTCTTTATCTTTGTAGACTCATCTTGACTGAGACCAGGTAGGTGATGTACAACTTAAGTGACTGTAGTTTTCAGACCATGCTCTGAGAGTAGTATAGAATATTTGGAATCAAGATTGCAGTAGAAAATAACGAATGTAATATAGACATTAATGTAAAACTGTAGTTGTAGGTTTAAAAGTTATAACTCAACTCAGTGCATTATTCCTTATAAGGAAATAGAACTTGTAGAATGAATTCTATAGAAATCCAGAAATTCCCTCTGTCATTCCATTTGCTTTAAAAATCTTTTAGCTAAGGTAACGGATCAATATATGAGAGCTGAGAGTAGATGATTTCAGTTTGTGTACATGTAAGAATGCACTATTAATCAGTGAATTTGATTGTTTTGTAGGAACATACACTGATAGGTTCAGCAAATTCCCAAGATATCCAACTATGTGGAATGGGAATTCTTCCTGAACATTGTATCATAGACATCACATCAGAAGGCCAGGTTATGCTGACTCCTCAGAAGAACACCAGGTAATGTACTTTAATTAGTGTTAATGTCACAATAATTTTATTTATTTATTTTTTTTTGCGGTACGCGGGCCTCTCACTGTTGCGGCCTCTCCCGTTGCGGAGCACAGGCTCCGGACGCACAGGCTCAGCGGCCATGGCTCACGGGCTTAGCCGCTCCACGGCATGTGGGATCTTCCCGGACCGGGGCAAGAACCCGCGTCCCCTGCATCGGCAGGCGGACTCTCAACCACTGTGCCACCAGGGAAGCCCTCACAATAATTTTTAAGAGGAAGAAAGTACACTAATTGAGGATGGTATAAGGACGTTTGGCCTTTGTGTGCTTTTATGTTCACTTAAAGAAGATATTCAGTTAGTTACCAAGTCCTTAATATTTAACTTTTTAATATGGCTTAAACCCATCCTTCCTCTCCAGACGTACTGCCGTAGCCTTATTTAAATAAGGTCCCCATCAGATCTTTTTTTTTTCTTTTTCTTTTTTTTGCGGTACATGGGCCTCTCACTGTTGCAGCCTCTCCCGTTGCGGAGCACAGGCTCCGGACGCACAGGCTCAGCGGCCATGGCTCCCGGGCTTAGCCGCTCCACGGCATGTGGGATCTTCCCGGACCGGGGCAAGAACCCGCGTCCCCTGCATCGGCAGGCGGACTCTCAACCACTGTGCCACCAGGGAAGCCCTCACAATAATTTTTAAGAGGAAGAAAGTACACTAATTGAGGATGGTATAAGGACGTTTGGCCTTTGTGTGCTTTTATGTTCACTTAAAGAAGATATTCAGTTAGTTACCAAGTCCTTAATATTTAACTTTTTAATATGGCTTAAACCCATCCTTCCTCTCCAGACGTACTGCCGTAGCCTTATTTAAATAAGGTCCCCATCAGATCTTTTTTTTTTCTTTTTCTTTTTTTTGCGGTACATGGGCCTCTCACTGTTGCAGCCTCTCCCGTTGCGGAGCACAGGCTCTGGATGCGCAGGCTCAGCGGCTCACGGGCCCAGCCGCTCCGCGGCACGTGGGATCTTCCCGGACCAGGGCACGAACCTGTGTCCCCTGCATTGGCAGGCGGACTCTCAACCGCTGTGCCACCAGGGAAGCCCCCCATCAAATCTTGATTGGAACGCCTGCCAGCACCCTAATCTTCCTGGTCCACTCACCATACAACCAGATGACTTTCTTCTATTCTTGATGCAAAAATCCCTTACATCCCTCCTGCTTATCTCCTATTCTTCTGCATCTGCCATTCCTCTGGCCAGCTAAGTAACTCCTGTTTGACCTTCAAGGTTAAGTTCTGTCACTGTCTACTTTGGTCTAAAATAAGGGCCCCCCAGTACATTTTCCTAGTGTACTTTATGCTTCCTGTTATGTTAATACTTCACACTGTGTTCTTGTGGGCTGTTAGCCTTTATTATCACATTGGACTGTGAGCTCTTTGAGGACAAGGACCTTTCTTTTTTGGTTCTCTATCCTTAGCACATAATACCAGACTAATAAATAAGTGCTCAATAAGTAATGAATAGGCATAACATTATACAAATTGAGTATTTGTCAGTTTGTTTCCTTTCGCTTTGAAACTGTTATTGCCCTGTTGTGTAACTGTCTATATAACTGTTATAGGTGATGGTTAACTGACATATTGATCTTCCGAATGTTGATTCATCATTATATCAAAAAAATCATTAATACCATCACTAATTTCATCCATAAAGTCTGTAAACATTTGGAAGCTGTCAAGCTCATGGTAAAGGATACAAGTGAGAAAGGAAAAAAATAGAGCGTAAGCTGGCCCAGCACTCCCAGCTCTGGTGTACTATTCTCCTATTAAATAATCTCACAGATACCAACCCCAGGGAAGGTTACTCTGAGGCTATGATGAAATAAGATGAAGCAGGCCACATAATAATTTTGTTTCAGCAGAGACAAAAACCACGGTCACTATGCCACACCCAAAATACCAAACACCTTCTCTCGGCCAAGTGAGTGGCTGTTTCTTCACCAGTTACAACTTTATCCTCTGTGGATAAGATTTTTGACAAACCCGATCATAGAATTACTCCTGCTCTCTGGCAGCATCCGGTATATACAGAACTCCCACCTCCTTAGACCCTCTCCCAGGATGAGCAGCAGCTGAAGCCCAGTCCTACAAGAGTACCCCCGGGCCCCCTCACTGAGATGCCCCCATGCTTCCTGTGGTGTCTCCTCCCTCTGCGTGAGTAATAAACCCAACTGGTTCAACTACGGGAATATTCCTGGTGGTCTTTGGTTGGAAGACATTGACACAAATTTCCCAAAACTCTAATTTTCACTTGAAAACTTGACATTTACAATTGGCAGCCAATACTGTCAGCTGTTTTTGTCAAAGTGACAGGCTGGCTTTGTTCATTTTCAAGAAAATGTCTGCCAGAAAACCACTTTGAGCGTGTCTTCTGCTCAAGACAGTTCTCATACTTTGGTATGCATTAGCACAGTGCTTTGTGTGTACTTCTCATTTTGTCACCTGGGATGTTTAAGAAGTTGTGTACTACTCAAGGGTCAAAATTTACTGAAAGTAGTACTTTATTATTTTTAAAAATTTTTATTTTTTAAAAACATTTTATTGGCGTATAGTTGAGTTTTACTGCTTCATCAAGGACCTTTTCAAGTGAAACATTTTTAGAAATTGTGGGTGCATGGCAGTGACTGATCCAGTGACGACTTATAAATGTTTGGTGCCACTGCTTTCATTTGTCCTAAAACACCAGCAGTTTTACTCTTTGCCAATGCAAACGTCAACACGGTGAAAAAGGGCAGGTTAGTGTTATTATAAAAATAAATTTGATCTTCGGGACCCCGTACAGACCACATGTTGAGAACTGTTATTATAGTCGTGCTTTTTATTTATTAACTGCTGGAGCTTTAAAAAATAAGCCTATGTATGTGTTTGCCTTTAATTAAACTCCTCAGTGTATTTAAGGAATCCGTGTCATAAAGGCTAAAATCTGCTAATTTTAGTAGGTCCCCTCTTGTCATAACTGTATTTTTTGAGCTCATGCTTTGAATAATCAGACTGTAGGAGCATAGAGACCAATTACTTTCAGTGCTTAAAAACCCACATGGTAAGTGAAATCTAGATGGAGAGTTAGGTTTTGTGTGTATGCATATACATTAAAAATAACTGGCGGTACAAAGCCAGGTGAGTGCCTTAGGAACGTAAAGAAACGAAGGTTGTATTGGTTGGAGTGACAGAGGAAGTAGAAACCAAACTGGGCTTTGTGAGAAATCAAACTGAGTGAGACTCAGGGTGATAGAGAACGGGAACCCTATTCCAGGTTATAGGACTGGGGTAAGCCTCGCTTTGGAGGAAGAGTCAGTCATGTTTAGTGGACAGAACATAACACCCCTACACACACCCTTTTTTTTTTTTTTTTTTGCTGGAGTTGAGAATTCACTAGAAGTGGGAAAGAAGGAGATAAAGAGGGTTTCCTTTTGCAGGGCCTTTAATGTCAAGTTAAAGAACTTGACCTTTATCCTAAACCTAAGCAGCTTAGTCATTCAGTGGAGAGAGGCATGATGACACTGGTATTCCAGGAATATCAATCTTATATGCATAATTTTCTATTTATTTCCTGCCCCTCTAAAATTTTTCCTTAATATTCTTCTACCCATCATTTCTTCTGTTGAACTCTATTGTCAAGATAAGCAGTCAAGTGGTCTTACAAATCTTCTATCTATTGATAGGATATGCACATTTTTCTGTGCTATAGGAAGTTACAGAATAGTTTAACATAGGCCTCATTTCTTATTACTGATACTATAGATATTTCTGAGTTTAGTTGGTTGATTGGCTCTTTTTATCCACGTAGATTGGACATACTTTTTTTAGTTGTAGTGTACACTGCTACCATCTTTTTATTACTGGCTGCAGTGGTTCCATATTTACTCCTTAATATGCTGTATAACAAAGTTAGAGCTTTGAAAGATAGAGGATAATAATCTATGATACTTGGTACCATAAGCATTTAAAATAAATCAGCAAAGAAAGAAATACAAGTAATAAAATTCACCAAGGGCAGATTTTATTTTGGGGAATTGATTCTTTTGTTTTTCCTATATTGTATTGGAAAAATTAAAGGGGAGAACATGATAATCATTGTTTATATGTTTGACCTCTTCTCCTCACAGAACATTTGTAAATGGCTCCTCTGTATCCAGTCCTATTCAGCTACACCATGGAGACAGGATATTATGGGGCAACAACCACTTCTTCAGGTATGACATTCATGGCTCTTAAATAGGTAGATTTTTGATGATTATACTCCGAAATAGAAAAGTATATATTAAAAAGTAAACTTAATGCTATAAGTATTCTACGTTGTTTTGTGCACATAAGTATGTATTCACTATACATATGCATTTATTCACTATACATACACTTGTTCACTATACGATTTGAGCCCAAGTGACACATGAACAAGTACACTCGGGAGAAATACTGTGTTTACTTACATCGTTTTTCCTTTTTATTTCCCAGTGGAAGATGATTGCTTTGCCATCTGGTATAAGAATTCATTAATTATTTTCTGACATGCTTGTCTTTTTGTTTCTTTTTTTTATTGGAAAAGTAGTGGTTTAAGTTTCCTTATCCATAAAATAAGGTTAATATTTCATTTAGGAATGCTCTCAGCTGCATGTAACGGCAAACTTGACTATAATGGCTTAAACAGTTAGTTCATTTCTCTGACAAAGCAGGAACTCCCAAGGAGGATGGTTATTGGCATTGGCTAAGCCTCTCAAAAGAGTCATGGCAGAAGTCGTGTCATTGTCTTGGCTTTTCCCTGTGGTCTAAAGATGGCCACGCCACTCCAGACATCAAGGCAGCATTCAGGCACATGCGAAGAAAACGAAGTTGAAGGGTGGCAGGACTAGCCCTGACTGTGCTGATGAGAAGAAGCAGGAGTCTTCCCAGAGTCCCTAGCAACCTTCCACTTACGTCTCATTCGCTAGAATTTGCCTCTCGGCTGCAAAGGAGGCTGAGAATGAAAGTGTCTGACCTGGGACTGCATATCGTTTCCCATACAAAATTGGTGTTGTGTTGGTGAGGATGGACTGGCTAGATAGAGAACAAAGTTAAAATCCTGGTCTGTTCCTCTACCTGTCCCTGGCCCTGTGTTTCGTACATCAAGCTGACTAGATCCTTTGCTTGTGGGCCAGGTGCTGTTTTGATTGTTGAGAAAAGAAGGGTACAAAGTGTGTGGAAAATCTTTTTCATTTTTTTCCTTAAACTTAATCAAGTGTGGATTGCTTGGCTTAGTGTTCAAAGCCCTCATAGTTTGGGTTAAGTTGATCTTTCCACCATTATCTCGCGCAACTTTTGCTCTGCACATTTTGTGGATCTCTGTGTAATTTTTAATTTTTCCAGAGGCTATGAGAGTTTCCATTTTTCCTCATGCTGTTCCTCTGTCCTAACACCCTGCTTTCTCCCCAGCCTGTAAGGCTGGGCTCAGATGACTTCCTATTCTGTCATCCCTTCTTCTTTCAGTCCAGCGAGAGGTGGTCCTCAGCTTTTCTCTGACACCTGGCTTGTCACATGGCTTTGTGTCACACTCTCTGTTGTCATTATTTGCGCATGTGCCTGTGTTTTATTTCTACTACTAGAATATAAACTTCTGAGTACAGTAATTGCCTTATGTGCACATAGTATCCCCTTGGCATCTAGCAAGTGCCAATATTTAATTAATGCAATGAATAAATGCATATCTTGCTTTAAAAGATAATATTATTTTTCTCCCCAAGACTTAATTTGCCTAAAAAGAAAAAGAAAGCAGGTGGAGAAGATGAGGAACAAGACATGTCCATGAAGAATGACACCAGTTCTGAGCAGCTGGATGTGGATGGAGACTCGTCCAGTGAGGTGTCCAGTGAAATCAACTTCAATTATGAGTACGCGCAGATGGAGGTAACCATGAAGGCTCTGGGCAGTAACGGTGAGCAGATCTGTTGTGCTTTGTAGAATCTTTCAGAGTTGCTAGACTGTTAGAGTTGTTTACAGTGGACACTTTTTAAACGTTAGCAACAAAGGAAATCTTCCTGTTGTTCTCTGGTACTCAATTCTTTTGTGACTTTGGCCTTAATTTATTATGCTTATAAAAACTTGTTTTTTCTTTCTGCCTTGATATACAAATCACTGCAAACTTTGTTCTCATTGACAGAATTTCTCAGGTTTGAGACTTGACTGCCATTGGCTTATTATTGTAGTGGATTTCTGGAGCGTTAACTCTGTCTTAGGTTATGTGTAGAACATACAAATAGACCTGCTTTTTTTATATGGAAGATGGTTTGGCATGTATCTGACAGAATAGATAAATAATATGATCAGTAATTGGGAGTAAGGAAAGTTAACTGTCTCTAAGAATCTTACGTTATTAATTAGGATGACGAACAACATAATAATAGAGAACATTTAAAGTATATTGTGTTGTGCAGTTAACCTTTTATTATTTGCCTTAAAAAAAAAAAAAACTTGTTTAGATCCCATGCAGTCAATACTGAACAGCCTAGAACAACAGCACGAAGAGGAGAAACGGTCTGCATTGGAGCGCCAGAGGCTCATGTATGAACATGAACTGGAGCAGCTCCGGAGACGGCTGTCTCCTGAGAAACAGAACTGTCGTAGTTCGGACAAATTTTCCTTCCACTCACCCAGCGCTCAGCAGCGATTGAGGCAGTGGGCGGAAGAGAGGTAGGTGGAGCACAGGGCCTGTGCCACCTGTGTAGCATATGCTCGTCACCTTTAACCCACCTGCTTAACATACAGAGTGGAAAAATCTAGACCTTACTTTAAAAATGAATTACATTAAAAGAGAGTGTTACAGCTAAGAACCACTTGGCATTGTCTTTTCCCTCCCCACTTTTGGGAAAAAAAAAAGGGAATTGTCAATTTATATTGATTTATTTAAAGCTCCCCCTGTTAGGTGCTGCCCCATTTTCAGTTTGTATGGCTTTTGGATTTGACTAAACAACTATGTGTACTTAGAAGTTATACTTTATCATTGTATATTATACTTTAGGTTCTGAAGCCTGGGTAGATGCTTTTTTTTAAAAAAGGAAAAAGAGAAAGGTGGTTTTTATCAGGTAGGTAAAGCATGGTACCAATGAGATTCAGATTGCAAGTTTGATCTCTATTTGAGCTAATTAGCATTGCACTAAATGTTTTATCCATGGTTACAGACGTATTTAACTAACCTCTTGCTCTTCAGAGTTTGGTCTGCAGACAGGCAGCATCTCTGTCACCTGGAGATTGATAGAAAGGTAGCGTTTTGGGTCCGCCACCCCAGACCTACTGAGTCAAAATCTTCAGTTTATCAAGATTCCCAGGTGATTTGTATACACAGTCAAGTTTGCCAAGCCCTAGTCTCTGGCTAGCTTCTTCCACAGGAGCATGTGCCAGTGCTTGTAACGTAGCCCACATTCAAGTGCGTGAGTGGGCCAGTGTCGGTGATGTATTCCCTGTGTGCAAAAGACAGTTGTAAAGCTTGGTTTGCAGTTTGGCGTTAACATCCTATGCACTATATAATATTCTGATGTGCTGCTTTAATGGTTATCTGCCCCCCTCCCTTTTTTTTGAAGAGAAGCAACACTGAATAACAGCCTGATGAGGCTGAGGGAACAAATCGTTAAGGCCAATCTGTTGGTGAGAGAAGCTAGTTACATTGCGGAAGAACTGGATAAACGAACAGAGTATAAAGTAACCCTACAGATTCCAGCTTCCAGCCTCGATGCCAACAGGAAGGTGAGATTGACGTTAAGGAAAAAAAACAAAGGTATCGCTGGATGAAACGCCTTCATATTTCACCGGGGTTATTTAAACACCGGGGTGGGGGGGTTTACCCTCATCCCCATCCCCAGCAGTACCCGTACCCCAAGTGGTTCTTCCCTTCATGCTATTCCTCTGCCACCCGCCACCCCTCCCCATCCCAAGTTAGGGATTCATTTTACCTATAGCGTGTTACTTTCTACTTGTCACTAGATGGCATGGCACAACTGTCCACTAGATGTTTCATGTGGGTATTCAAGATCACAATTCTCTCTTTTTTTTTATAATGTAAGGAGCCTAATAAAATGCAGAGGGCAAGTCCCATCATAGTCTCCTATCCTTGCCATTCAGTTTTCTCGCTTATTTGGGTTCTTTTATAGCTCTTGATCATGTTAGTACATAATTTTTGATGGATTAGGTAGAATTTTGTATTCAGATATTCGTTTCCCTAGCTGGCTGAATATAAGGTAGAAGGGCCTTTGCAGTATGAGAGAGAATGGTAATTTTTGAACTTCAGAATTCTAAAATCCTTGCTTCATTATGTAAATTCTGTTTCTTTGGAACTGATTATAGGCAAGATGTTAAGGCAATATTGGCGTCTTTCATAATTCTCCAAAGTTCTAAGGAGACGTATCAGAACAGTTTAAAAAATTTCTGGTAAATCTCAGTTGATTAGATATCTGATAGGTACATCTCTCTGGGGGAGATCTACAGGGGCATTTTTATTTTCTACACTGTGATTTCAAAACGTTTAAACATTTTTTCTACATTAAAAGCACGTTGCTTTTGTAAGCTAGAAAAACTTAAATGAGTACTTTTTTTTTTTTTTGAGGTGAAATTCACGTAACATAAAATTAATTAAAGTGAACAATTCAGTGGCATGTAGTACATTCACAGTGTTGTGCAACCAGCATCGCTACCTAGTTCTGTACCATCTTAATAATAAATTTAAGCTACGTATATTTGGAAGTTGGTATCATTTGTTGCCTCCAAATGGGTAAATAGGATACTTTTCACAGCTTACTCTTTTAATCATTTGAGTTTTGTATCACATTAAGATACTTAGCCATTCAGAATTTTTTTTTAATTCAAACTTTTGAAAGGTAAAAATTCTTCACCATCCATCCCACAAACTTTCCCTTCCCATTCAGTGCTTATGACTCTCTTCCTACCCACTGATACTCTTTGGTCATATGATGTCCTGAATAAAACAGTTTTGACTTCCCCATAGACACGGTCTACTTTTCTGGGATTTAAGTTTAAATTTAGATTTATACTTAAATTTAAATTTTGACTGCAGTTAGATAGAAAGAAGTTATATTAAGCTTGTAAGATTTCTGGGAAGTTCTGCACTGAACAGATTAAAGAATGATACAGTTTCCATTTTCGTCGATGACATTTGACTGGTAGCTATAGAATGTTGGGGTTGATGTCTACGATGCATAGATGTCTCTGTGCTTCCCAACGCCACTCTTACTGTCTTTGCAGCGAGGCTCTCTCCTTAGTGAACCTGCCATCCAGGTGAGAAGAAAAGGAAAAGGGAAGCAGATTTGGTCTTTGGAAAAACTGGACAACAGGTTATTGGATATGAGAGATCTTTATCAGGAGTGGAAGGAGTGTGAAGAGGATACCCCAGTAAGTTATTTGAGAAAAACTACTTAACTGATAGTCACAGAAGGAACCACTCAGGAATGAGCCTGCCCATTTTAGGGAAGAACTGTTCATTTTTCCAAAATATCTTGTTTAATAAATACAATACTTATTTTAATCCTGTCAATTGTTTAGCTAGTCAAGAATTTTAATAACCTATTTTTCTGGCATCTTCTCTTCTCCACATTTGTGTTCTCTGGATTTCTAGTAGAATCTTCTATGTTTGTTCTGGCTTCTGTTGGTGTTACGTGTATCTGTTTCCCATGGTTTTACTCAGGCCTTAATATCTCTTCCCATTTCTCAACATATTTTAACCTTGCAAATAACAAAGCTACAACATCTGTTTTTTGAACTGAACATCAGTGATACCTTAATATTTATACTATTAGGAACATTTTTTGAAGGCGTTTTGATCCTAAAGCAGGTGCCATAGATCTGAACTCTGGTACTCTCTCCTCAAGTTTCAGGTTTGCTCATTTAGGTCAGCCGTGTGCTTGTACCTATTTAAAATAGAAGTATGAATTATGTATATTTTTACATATTTTCAACACTGCTGGTCCTAGGGCCCCATAGAGTTGTTTACTTCCTTAGCCTCTTGTTTTGTAAAAATGTTCATCAAGGGCTTCCCTGGTGGCGCAGTGGTTGAGAGTCTACCTGCCGATGCAGGGGACACGGGTTCGCGCCCTGGTCCAGGAAGATCCCACATGCCGCAGAGCGGCTGGGCCCGTGAGCCATGGCCGCTGAGCCTGCACGTCCGGAGCCTGTGCTCTGCAATGGGAGAGGCCACAACAGTGAGAGGCCCGTGTACTGCAAAAAAAAAAAAAAAAATGTTCATCAATTAAAATGACTTCTTATAGTTAGATGACATTTTTTTCTTAAAACATTTTTTTCCATTTTCTTCTGTATTCCTCTCCTATTTCAACTTAGAAATGAAATAACATTAACAACAAATAACAAGCAAACCACACTCTTGTAAGGGGGTCACCTCTCATTAGCAGCAGCGTGTTTAATGATTTGGTAGGGACAGGTGGAATAGATGTGAATGAAAAATAGAGTACTTTTGTACACTCTGCTGATTTTTCTAGTCAATGTATGCTTTCTCTATTTCACAGCAAGGTTTCCACGTAAGGGAGAAGAAATGATGAAAGTAATGATGTGTTATTGGGATTGCTCTCTCATGGGTGAAGGGTGCTGATCACCATTCTAAGTGGGAATGAGGAGGAGTGTGTGTGTGTGTGTGTGTGCGTGCATGCATGCAATACAGTGCTATACTTCGGCTAAGTTTAATGACTTTATTAGACTGCATGAAAAAGTGGCAGGTTGAATTCGTTTATTTTAAGAGATTTTCTGAAGCTGTATGTTTCGAATCTCTTTAAAGGTGATACGGTCTTACTTCAAGCGTGCAGATCCATTCTATGATGAGCAGGAAAATCACAGTCTCATTGGGGTGGCTAATGTCTTCCTGGAGTCCCTCTTCTATGATGTGAAGTTACAGTATGCTGTTCCAATCATCAACCAGAAAGGAGAGGTTAGTTTTCTCCTCGTGCCTTGTGTCCCGCAGAGAACAGTTCGAGAAACAACAGGGTGGTGATAGTAAATTGTCGTTATAATTTTTCATCAATAACGACAAGCATTATCTATGTGTATTATTAATATCTGTGTTTCCATACTGCTGGATGGTGATTATTCCAAATAAATACTTTGAGGAAAAGTAACTGGCAGAACCTTTTATACCACTAAGCTAACCACTTGACTCTACAACAGAGGAAAGAACAAAATCTGGAGAAAGGATCTGCTTTTGTCCCCACTGCTGTAGGTGGCAGGCCGGCTGCACGTAGAGGTGATGCGCATTAGTGGTGACATCGGGGAGAGAATTGCGGGAGGTGATGATGCTGCAGATGCGTCCTTTGATAAGGAGACCCAGGAGAACAAACTCGTGTGCATGGTAAGGCCCACTTTCCTTTAGGAGTAGTAGAAGTGCAGCTGGTTTTGAGGATTGTGGGTATTTAGACGGTAAATACTGTGTCCTTTTTCAAATTTTGAAAATATCTGTCTCTAAATAAATCTTTAGTATTTAGTGTTCTAGAGACTGTATTTCATCACATTTTCCTGACATTCCAGGTAGCCAGGTATTTCCACTCCCTTCCTCTGTGACCCCTTGGATAAGTCACCTCTTTCTTCTGGACTGTTGTGCCCTAAAATTATGTGAATTTGAGTTTGTCTGAACCTCTCTCTAGAGAAGCCAGTTTTCTCACACAGGTTTCCTCCTCCTTTTGGGCCTCTTGTGATGCTGGAGGTGTGTCCCAGCCCTGGTCCTATTGCTAAGCAGCCGCCTAAGCCACTCTTCACCCTGTCTTTCCATGTTTCTTGTTTCCTCTTCAGGAGCATGCCTTTGCTTGTGCTGTCCCATCATGTCCTCACCCCAGACCCTTTCCTCTCTGCTCTTCCCACGCATGCTGTTCCTGAACTGTGTGTTGAGTATCATCTGTGAGACACTGTGCCAGGCGCTGGGAATATGAAAATGAGTAAGGCAGGACTCCTGCTGTCAAGGGAGCAACCTGTGTAGTTGGTGTGCACCTTTGGGGGACGCAGAGGTAAATAGAGGACCCCAGTATTGTGTGACCCGTGTGCTCCGAGAGGGGTAGATAGGAGTTGTTCTGGGACACAGAGTAGGGGTCATCAATGAATGCACATAGTGAGGTCTGAGGGATATTTCTGGAAAGATGAGACTCAGAGTGAACTTGAAGGAGAGCATGTTATGTAAAGCTGTCCTCTCCCTAGGGGGCTGTGGGTAGTTGCTGGGCGCGTGTTAGGTCAGCATAGGTAGGGCCGCCTCTTCACTCATTACGACAAGGAGAACATCCCATCGTGCATTTCCAGGCACACTCTAGTGGGCCAGGGTGCCATGGGTTGAAAATCACCCAGGAACCACTTAAAAAGGTTTTTGAAGACGAGAAATCAGCAAGGGGCTTAGATACCGTGTGTGAGTGAGGAGGCCATTCAAAGGTGAGGCCAGGAAGCCCACACTTCACTCTCATTTCATAGTCTATCCTAGGTCCAGTCTTGTAGCTCAGTAAATATTTCTAGAATTGAGTTTCATTTTGAAAGGAGTAGGTTAGGCATCAGCTACAGGTATGGAGCAGCTAAAGCTGTTAGAGTTGGGCCACTTTCCATAGGTCTTTGCCTGTATTTAGGAGGCCTCAATTAGTAATTGACAGTCCATTGCTTCCGTGTGACGGGGAAGTATTCTTAATTCACTAAAAGGTGAATCTTTGTACTGTACTTGATTTCAGAACATTTCCTTTGAGGTTATATGATTATCAAAGATGGGGAGACATAGCCTTTGTGACTCATAATGGCCCGCTTTAAAGGGGATGGACCAGAAATGCAACCTGTGAAAGTTACCATTAGTGAGGTAACATATATGAGGGTACTGTCTCACTTGGGAAGTGTATCTTTGTCACTGGGTAACTTCGGCTTTTTTTTTTTTTAATGAAGTTAAAATGTATTAAGATTTTTTATGGAAGATATCAAACATATAGAAAAGTAGTAGGATAGTGTCACTGACCCCCATTCATCCTCCCTCGACTATCAACTCATGGTCAGTCTTGTTTCATTCATATACACAAGCTGCTTCTCTGCTGTCCCCTTCCCTTGGATTATTTTGAAGCAATCCCAGACATCATATTTCTTCAAGAATAGTTTAGTATATGTATCTCCAAAAGAAGAGGACTTTTAAAAAAACCCAACCTAGCCAGGATATCATGATCAAGAACTAATACTTTTTTAATATCATGAAATATCCAGTCAGTTTCCCTGGTCGTCTTGGTGTCTTTAGTCTATTTTATATTTTAATCTTTAGGCTCTGGCCCTTATGCTTGCTCCCTCCTGCTTGCCCTCTCTCTCTCTCTCTCACCCTGCAATTTGTTTATTGTAGAAACTGCGTTGTCATCGTGTGTTTTCTCATAGTCTGGATTTTGCTGATTGGTATTATTTACTGTGTTAAGGTGCATTTGCTGTAAATTGGGAGTTAGATATAAAGGTGACCTATGGGAGAGGGGAGGGGCGATGATCCTTTACAGGGTGAGGTGTCTTCCATCAGAAGGCACATCATGTCTGGTTCTCTTTCGGGGATGTTAGCAATCGTTGATGGTTATTACCTAGGTATTTCATTAGGAGTTAGAAAAAATAATTCTATCATCCCTTCATTTATTAGCTGGAATTCTGGAGAGTGAACCTTCCTACTCTCAACTGTTTTGCTATTCAGAGGTACAATTTGTATCTAAAAGGCAGGGTGAATGGTCCATTCTCTCCCTTTATTCACTAGTTTTCAAAATAATGAATTGGTTTTCCTACTATTATGCAAAAGCGACAAGTGAGGTTTTTTTGGTTTGGTCTTCATATCATTATGAACTCTTGGATTTAAATATACTTGGTATGTTTTGATCCATTGTATTCATTACCTATATCGAAGCTCAAACGATCCCATCTTTGGCTCGTGGAGGCCTCTTCGGGTGGCTCTTGAGTCCTTTGATACAACCCTAACCCTCAGAGACTGTGCCATCTTTCCTGCTCTGGTGTGACGCAGACTGTACATTCCTTGTCCCAGACCATTTCTCCAAGGAACTGGATCCCTTTCAGTGGGGAGTGGTTTTTAGACACCATATTCTGAGTGTGTAATAGCCTTTTGTGTAAAAGGAGGAAGACAACTGTATGGTAGTTAAATATTGGTGGGGAAAAAAACGAAAGATACCAGTTTGGGGACACTTGAGATATCACAGGTGATGAGTATCACTGGCCCTTAAAAGAAGACTAGATTTATTTTTCTGTGATGAAAAAAAGTATGCACATATTAACATATTGATCATTTTAATTACATTAAATAAAATTATTATATTTTTAAACCGCGAACAATGTCAATGTCTCCCGACATTTCTGGGCTGTAGGTCTTGAGCAGTGGCAAGTTGACGTCTGTGGTATTCTGACACCTGGTGGTGATTTTGGTTTCTGCGTGCAAAAACTTAAACCTATGTTCTAGATATCATTCTGATATTCTTTATTCCTGTAGTCTCATTCCTGAGGAGTTGCCTATAGGGGAGAGTTCAGCATATGAAACCTTGCTTTCTTATTTATTTCAATCTTAAAATTGAGATTGATTTCTAAGAAAGAAAATTAGCTTTCAGATGGAATTCAGTCACAAAGAAGTATGTATTGAACATCCATCCACGTAGTGCCTGGTAGTGATTTCATTCATTGTATTTCATTGGTATGGTTAGTCCTCACACATCTATCATTAGGTAGCTATCTTGTTTTCCATAGGAGAAAAACTAAGCCTAAGAATTTAAGTAATTTGCTCATAAACAGAAGCTAATAAGTGGCAGAAATTTTTATTTAGATCTTTGTACTCCAGAATATTGCAATCTTCCCAAATACCACATTGCCTCATCTTAAAGAATATAATAAGCATATTAAACATTTAATGAAAAGGGCATGGTTTTTAAAATTTAATGAAAAGTTAATTGCCAAATACTAATTGCTCTATTTGGTTTGGACAAACAAAATGTGTTAGTCGATCTGTCTTTCATAGCCTGGGAATTGCTGTCTAGATGTTTCAAACTCTATGCCGTCACAGGAAAAAGTGAATAATAGCAGGAGTGCCCGTCCGTTGCTTACCCATTATAGAAGAAAATAGTCGTCTGCTTTGCATGATTTTCTGTGTCATTCATTATTAATACTTCGTTAAACAGTAAGAACATTTGTGGTTGCTAAACTATGTAAACTTCTGCCACATACTCAAATCTGTTTTTGTTAATTTTACGTACTGGAGGTTTAGAGTGCGTCATACAACATGTAGGAAGCAACCAGGTGAAGAGCATGATAAATGATCAGTGTGCAGTCTCATGAAGGTTGGCCTCATAGATTGTGAAATCAGAATTTAGCTTAGTTAATTTCAGGATCTAGTTTCCTCCACAACTTATCACAAAAGTTACAAATCAACCTGACAGTGCCTGCCAAAAGAAATATTTAGACTATTGGCTGCTTTAAAATCTATTATGGGCATTTCTTCTGGGGGCGTTCGGGTCTGATTAAACACATACTTCTGTAATCGCACGTAGTTATCACAAAACCCCACACCCCAGTAGTCCAGGGCACATTTCCTTTGATCTGGCCCTCCTCCCTGAATCTGCACGGAGAAGGCATCGCACACATCGCTGCAGAGAATGGTCAGCGGTCACCATCTTTTGTCTCCTCCGTTCACCCCTCCAGATCTTCAGAGTATACATTCCTGATGCTTTTAAAGTTTTCCAGAAACGCTCTAGTAGCAAGTAACATTCCAATTGAGAACATTGTTCTTTTTTATACATTAAAATATCAAATAAATGTTTTCTTGCCCTTTTCTGAATATTTACTGCTTACTGGTATGCACACTGTTTTCATTCTTCATTCATCATTCTTAACAATCTTGTGTCCTTGGGCCGTAGTATCCATCGTTGGCCGAGTTTGTATGATTGAATGGTGCTAATGTTTGACAACTTTCTTCTTCTGAAGATGATGATGATATAAAAAACTAGAATTTTAAATATTCTTCATCAGCCTGTAAATGCTTTAAAATGTCTACTTGTATATAGTCAAGGTTACTGATACCTTGTGTCAACCTCTCACTAAATATGACATTTCACAGATGAAAAAATACAGCCCAGGTTGAATGAGATTTGGTCAACGTAAACCAACTGTTAATGACACAGTCAGGACTAGAGCCTGTGTCTCTGACTCAAAGTACTTCTTGGAACTTTCTGAGTTAAAAACAGTCTTCCTTTTCCTTCAGGTTAAGATACTTCAAGCCACCGGCTTGCCACAGCATCTGTCCCACTTTGTATTCTGCAAATACGACTTCTGGGATCAACAGGAGCCAGTAATTGTTGCACCCGAGGTGGATACCTCATCCTCTCCAGTAAGCAAGGAACCACAGTGCATGGTTGTCTTTGATCAATGCAATGTAAGTGTGTTTTCCAGACTGGGGCAGCATTTAATTACTGAGGTCAAAACAAAAAACAACCCATATTTTGTTGAGTAATTTGGTACCAGTCTGTGTCTTGGATCAGTTTCTTAGAGTGGGGTTGGAGTCAAAGACTAAAGTGCCATCAACACACTGTATGTACATGTTAAACTTACACAACGTTATATGTCAATTATATCTCTGTAAACCTGGGGGAAAAAGCAAAACTATAGTGTCAGTGCATGTAACTCCTCCAGCATCAAAAGTTAACTTTTGTGTGACTATATGTACATATGTCTTCTCTTCTCCAAAAGGAATCCATGTTTTGTATGAGTTACTGGAGAAACTGTCATCTGGGAAGGTTAGGAAACTAGTGTTTTAGAGAAAGTGAAGATAGAAGGGAGACAAGAACTAGCATCGTGGAGCCCCTAATGTTCTGTTCAGCACTTTGTGATTCTTTCATTTGCTCTTTCCCACAGTTGTATTTGATGACAGTGCTTTTTTTAGCTGAAGAAGTCGGTTCAGAGGTCATTTGCCCATGGCTAGTAACTAGCAGAGCCGGGACTGTCAGATTCTAGATGCTCTTTTTCTACTTTATCTCACTTGAGCCGTCTCATTTTTTTTTTCGAGAGAGGTCTCTTTCTAATCTGTTTAAAACAGAAATACTTTTGTTGTGCTAAAGATCAAGAAAGAGAGAGAGAGATTCTATGACTTTTTAAAATAAACTTTTTTAGAGCTTAATCCTAATTATTGCAAGAGGCTGTTTTACATCTATCTTACAAAGATGGAGATTTTTTAAAAATAGGTGATTATTTGCACTGATGATCAGTATTTATTTCCTTTCTCTCTCATTATTAGAGATAGTTAACTTCCTAAAAACTGGAAAAAATTGTCCAACACACTGCTGCCTTACTGGATGTAATAACTTTTATATCAGGACGTAGATCATTGTTGTCATTCTTAATATAATTATTTATACTTTCAAAAATAGCTTCCAAAATATTGCTAACAAAATAGAATACAGTGCTGGTCTTTCACAATAGATTTTCAAGGTGAAAAGTTTTTTAAAAATCAGAGTTAAGAACCTTGGACCATCTGAGCATTCATTATGTGTGTTGGATGACAGTTTTGTCCTATGGCTAAAACATTCTATTTCTCTTCTCCATAATGAAGTGAGGCTATGTCAGGTGTAAGTAATTGTAAGGTCACCAGAAGGTGTTTTCTTCTTCTGTGCTTACTTCCTTTCAGGAATTTTCTGTTGGCATCACTGAAGACTTTATCGAGCATCTTTCAGAAGGGGCTTTGGCAATTGAAGTCTATGGCCATAAGATGAATGATCCTCGGAAAAACCCAACCCTGTGGGATTTGGGGATTATCCAAGCAAAAACACGCAGTCTTCGGGACAGGTGAATTTTAGATATCCATCTGATTCCATTTATAATTTTAAAAAATTGCTAGAGATTAATATTGCCATTTATAAAGGTTACCCCTTCCTGAGCATTACCAGTATTCCAGTAATAGATGGTGTTATGTCCACGGTATTAACAGCACAGTTAAACTTCCTTGGAGGAGTGAACTTTGAAGAGTGATGGGAAAAAGTTAAGAAATAGGTAGTTAAGAATAAAGTGTGAAATGAATTTTTGGAGAATAGGTTGCTTATCATTATGAAATACTTCTAATTAATCATCTGTAGAGAAAATAGATCAAGATATACTCTGGAACTCAGGTTTACATGTTTTTTTTTTTTTTAAATAAATTTATTTATTTATTTATTGGCTGTGTTGGGTCTTCGTTACTGCATGTGGGCTTTCTCTAGTTGTGGTGAGCGGGGGCTACTCTTCTTTGCGGTGTGCGGGCTTCTCATTGCGGTGGCCTCTTTTGTTGTGGAGCACTGGCTCGGCACACGGGCTTCAGTAGTTGTGGCACTCAGGCTCAGTAGTTGTGGCGCACGGGCTTAGTTGCTCCGCAGCACGTGGGATCCTCCTGGACCAGGGCTCGAACCCGTGTCCCCTGCATTGGCAGGTGGATTCTTAACCACTGTGCCACCAGGGAAGTCCCTTACTTATTCTATCTTTAGCTCAAAGTTTTTTTCAAGTAGCATTAATCATGGAAGGAGGAAGGCTTACTTGTTGCCCAGGATTTTAAACAGAAGAGTTAAAAGGAAAAGACTGAAAGAGCATATATTTGTACTGCATCTAATTATAGATGAGAAGCAGATTTTCTTCTTTTTTTTGTATTTAGAAAGTTTTACCAAATACTAAATTAGACATTGGGATTTTTTTTTTTGATTCTCTTATTGACCTCAGCAGAGATACTTGTCAAGTCACTAAAGCATACAGCACTACCTTTGTGTATGAAAAGATAATCACTGCAACTTATTTCTGTACTTCTGATAACAATGTTCAAATTTTTGAATAACAACTTTGAAATAGATTTGTAATTATCATACCTTTTTGAATGAAATAAAGGCATCATTTTTAGTTCTGATGTTGTTTGTTGAACTTTGCTTTTAATTACATTTGCCAGTATGTATTTGTGTATTACTCACTGAACTACAGATAATTCTACTGAGTTATTCTGTTTGGAGGTTATTTTCATTGTTAATTCTCATGTGTAGGATCCTAAGCTGCCTGTATTGAAATAGAAATGTATGATTTTCCAAGAACTTCAACTATTTCCTAGATGGAGCGAAGTCACCAGGAAAGTGGAATTCTGGGTTCAAATCTTGGAACAGAATGAGAATGGTGAATACTGCCCTGTAGAGGTAATTCCTGCAAAGGACGTGCCAACAGGTGGAATCTTCCAACTCCGGCAGGTAATGAAATTTTTAATGTTAACGTTGAATTCTTTGGTGTCGTAAAGGTTAATGTTGGATTCCTTTTAGCAGAAACATCAGGGATAATGAAATCTGGATTGGCCAAGACCATTTATTATATTAAAGTTTTCTCTCCCTTCATGTGTATTTTCTTTCATTTTCAAAAATAAAGCTGTTTACAGTATTTAAAACCAGCTTCTGTGAAGTTTAAGTAAGAAAAAGATGAGCTTTGGGGACTCCCCTAGTGGCACAGTGGATAAGACTTGCGCTCCCAGTGCACAGGGCTTCCGGGTTCGATCCCTGGTCAAGGGAACTAGATCCCACATGCATGCTGCAACTAAGGAGCCCACCTGCTGCAACTAAGACCCAGCGCGACCAAATAAATAAATTTTTTTTTTTAAAAGAAAAAGATAAGCTTTAAAGTGACTTAGAATTGAACTGTAGGCAATAAAACGTATCAAGCAGCATTAGAACATTTATAAAGACAAGGAGAGGCTGTGTGACATGGCAGAAAGAACAAGCACTTCAGAGTCTAACATTCTGAGGTTTGGTTCTGGCTGTCCCATGGCCTGGCTGTATATCCGTGAGCAAGTTCAGTCACCTCCCGGAACCTTTCCTCAGGTGTCAAGCGGAGGGGGTGATAACACCAACTTTGTAGGGTTATTGTGAGGATTAAAAATACTGTATATGGAGCCCAGTGCTTGATACATGGGAGATGAGAAGTGTTTTTCCCTCTGATGCCCACCAGTTCTCTGCTTCTCTGCAGGCACCAACTGGGTGCCTTGTAATTCAGTTCAGTTTGGACCCTAACTACCCAAAGCGAGCATCACACTCCACAGGTTTAAGGGCCCAGACTTACACAGGACTGCCCTCACTTCAGACACCAGATGCAAGTATCAGGGCCCCAGGTCACCCACGTTTCTGTCCTACTTGGCTACAGTTGAGGGTTCCCGCAGCTCTCAGGTTTCATAGTTTGCTGGAATGACTCACAAAACTCAGGAAAGCCCTTTGCTTACTGTTACCAGTTTACTGTAAAAGGTACAACTCAGGAACAGCCAAGCGGAAGAGCTGCATGGGGTAAGGTGTGGAGGAAGGATGAGGAGCTGCCATGTGCCCTCCGCTGCGCCAGCTTCCCAGCGCCTGACGTGTTCACCAGCCAGGAAGCTCTAACCCCATCGTTAGTAGGTTTTTACGGATGTTCCATTTTGTAGGCGTGGTGGATGACAGCATTGGCCTTTGGTGATTAACCCCATCTCCAGCCCCTTTTTTCTCTCTCCCTGAGGTTTTGGCATAGGGCTGAAAGTTCCAACCTTCTGATCAAGGCTTGGTCTTCCTGGCGACCAGCCCCAATCCTGAAGCCACCTAGGGGTCTGCCTAGAGTCGACAAATGAAAAGTCACATTGCTAAAAGACGCACCTATCACCTTTATCATTAAGGAAATTCCAAGAGTTTTAGGAGCTCTGTGCCAGGAACTGAGGACAAAGACCAAATATCTTTTCTATCTTACTTAACACGTTAGGTAAATAGGACACGTTAAATGAATGCAGCTAGGTGGATGTGAATACCTGCCAGAAACCAATACAGCAGAGACACGCGTGGGACTTGTCACTTAACCCCAGACAGATGTGATCTGTAGTATCTGTGCTGCAAATTAAAGATGAAAGAGAGTATCTTAATAGAATTTATATGTAAGACTTAGAAATACTCTTGTTTGCTATTCTTTACATGAAGTCAACATTTAGTAGAATATTATTGCCTGTGACAGTTTCCATACTTTAAAACAGTAGTAAAATATTAGAATGGCTCAAGAAAATGAATGTTGAAATCATTCAAAGCAAAATATGAGAAAAGGTTAAAGGAAAAAGAAAGTTTGCTTAAATAAGTTTCTGAATGTCTTAGGAGGAGGAAAATGATAAGCACTTGTTCTCTGACCCTAGCAAATGAATTTTAGCCAATCCATTCGTGTATAGACAAGGCACTAAAAGCAAAGGAAATTAGTTTAAATTATAGTGTGAGATATATACATAAAATAGGATTCATAAGGGTGTGAAGAACATCTTTTCCTGAACATCTGTTAAAACTATATATATCCTCTTTGGATGCCTTAGAAATTCTTCATCTCCCGGAAGGCAAGACCAGATAATTTTCTGTGGTTTAGTATAAATTGAACATTTAAGTGTTTTTCACACTTCTGGCAACCTTTACTAAAAGTGTTCAAAGATATCTTGGGTATATCAGGAAAGGCTTTTTTGAAGGATGTGCGTCTCGACCTGGGTGGTGAAAGAATCATGTTGGAAGGGTTCTTCATATATAAATGGCAGGAATAAAGATAGAGGGTGGAATTAGGTAAGTTTGGGTAGAAAGTATCAGTAACTTGTAGGAAGAGCTAGAAACAGTAACAGAAGAGGTTATAGAGGCTTGGGGCAGCTAGTTCATGGAGGGCCTTGGATGGGTAGACTTATTAGAATTCAACATTGGAACCTGTTGTTCTCCAACAGGAAAGTAGCAGAGGAGAACTGATTAGATTAACTGCATGCATTTGCTAGTTTTGTAGTTAAAAAATAGTCAAATTTCGGCAGTTACAAGAAGTTCACTAATAGTTTATGTGTTCGTAAAGCTGTTGAAAGCTTTTCTGTGGCGCATTAAGCCATTCCTGGATCTTTTCCCTCCATTTTTCTCTCTTTATCCTGTATTCTCCCAAAGTATAGGTACCTCCCCTTCACGTTTGGGCACACATTCAGAATAGGTCACTTCCTGTCTCAGGCAAAGTGAAAACCAAAGGTAGCTAATTGAAATGACTAAACTATTTCAGACAATTAAAATGTTTTCTGAGTTACTCTTTGCACAAAATATCTGATGCATAGTCCTCGGAAAATGTTAAAGACATCTGCAACCCATCTCTTTCAATCTAGCTTGATAGGATCAATCATTGCCTAAGCTGATTTTCCTGATGATACAAAGCTCTTGGGAATTAAAATCCAATGGAAGGGTAACTGACTTGGAATTACATGTTCAGATTCTGTTTTTCAAATTCTATTTTATATTCCTAGAATTTATAAACCAACTTTGAAGTCAGTGATTGGGGATACTGGGAATTTTCTTTTAAAAATTACTTCATTGTAAATACTCAAAGTCACATAGTGTTTATTGTGAAAACATGCTTAAAGAAGGAGTAGTTTCTCTCTGGTCAATTCTTCGTTGTGCAACTTGGCTTAAAATTATTTTATTTTGGGATGAGAGCAGTGAATTCAGGATAGTGTAATCATTCTTATTATTCTGATTGCTTATTTTTTAAAGTGGATCATACTATATATACTGGCTTTGGTAATCTACTTTTGTAAAAGAAGTCTAGTTAACATCTGTCACTGTACTCTTTAACATATATCATGTATGTTTTTCTATAGCAATATTTTAATGACCATGTAAATATTTCATTAATATACTATAGTTTAAGCAGTTATCAATGTTATACATTTAATTTGCTTCTAATTTCTTGTTATTCTTAACATTGCTGTAAGATTCTTTATGTACATATATGATTATTTACTTAAAACAGGTTCCTAGAAAGTTGAATTGCTGGGTCAAGGGATACTTATTTTTTAAGGCAAATTGCCCTGCAGAAAGCTTTACCGATTTATATTCCCACCAACAGTGTCTGTAATTGCCTTTTTCGTAAACTTTGGGCAATATTGTAAATTGCCTTTTTTAAAAGATAATTGCTAGCTTAGTAAGTGAAAATAAAGGTGTTTCATGCTTATTTTAATTTGCTTATTAGTAAGTGGAACATTTTATATTGTCTAGCCTTTTGCATTTCCTTTGTTAAAGTTTTTTTTTGTTGGAAAAAATATCTAAGCCATATATTTGTTCCTGATTAGTTTTTGAATTTGTAATTTACTACTAAGCATGTAAGGTATGGTGAGATAGCATCTCTAAAGATAAATGCTTTTCTCATTATCAGCCTGTAGGGGTCTCTCTAAACCAAATTTTTGGGAATCAAACCGATTTTGAGAAACTCTTAAAATTGTCTGTGACACAGGGTCAGTCCCGGCGAGTCCAGGTGGAAGTAAAGTCTGTGCAGGAGTCTGGGACTTTACCGCTGATGGAAGAATGTATATTGTCTGTTGGCATTGGATGTGTAAAAGTCAGGGTGCCGAGATCGGCCAAGACTCATGAAACCATCCATGTAAGTCTCTGTTGACAGACCCAACCAGACAAGAGAGTCTTTTGGAACCTGTCAGAAAACTGCCTTCCACAAACAATTCTTTCAGTACTTTATTTCCTTGGATATCTTTTTTTTCTTTTCTTTCTTTCTTCTTTTTTTTTTTTTTAACTGTATTGCATTTGCGTGGAACCACTACACCAGCTTGTTGGTTTTCCCTGGTACACGGCAAACTGAGGGTTAAAACATCTCAGCCTCCAGGAGTTCCTCAGTGCCTGATTTCCGCCCTCCCCACCCCTCTGCAGAAACCCCCTGCTGGCTCATAAAGACTGTTTGCCAGCAGGTGTTTGATTTCCCCTGGGGAGTGGGACTGTAAACCCAGCAGGGGGAGTATTGTACTAGCTCCCCGAAAAGGTCATATGAGGTTCTTCACTTTCCTATGAGAAGCTCAAGGTTTCACTTCAACTCCCTGAAAACTGTAAAACCGAGAGTGAGGGTGAGCGTGGGTGGGAGATGAAAAAGCGTATTCCTTAAATTAGAAAATATAAAGTATGGGAAAAGATTCAGACTTGTTTAGCGTAGTCTGATTCTTGGATAAATGATTGCTTCGGCTCCTCATAATATATTTTTTCTCTTAGGAGGAAGAGGAGGACATGGACAGTTACCAGGTAATGAAGCACGGGTTATCCTAGTCAAATAAGCTTGATTAAAGTACTAAATTACACATTTCTTGCCATACTGTTACTTAGTAACTACACAATTCGTTTTGATTGAAATACTGCTTTGTCTCAAGTTAAAAGGGAGAAGGGAACAATCATTTGTGACTGTTATCCTTTTCCAAACCTGGAGCTGCCCGTCCAGTCCCCTGCAGATCCATTCTTCAGGTCCTCTTCCTTGCACATGTTCTCTCCTTTTTCCCTGGAAGAGCTGTTGCAGACTTGGCTTCAGTCAAGCCACGCCCCTTAGGTATTTTCCATACTTTAAGCCAGGTCTCCTTTCCCT